AGCTGGAGGGACCCGAGCCCGGGGCTCAGACCCGGGGAGAGCCAGGCTGGGGCTGCAGAGGGTGGCCAGGGTGGGGAGCTGGCAGCGGTGGCACTCGGACGGGTTTGCCAGGGAAAGAAAGGGTGTCCCAAGGACCGGGATGTGCTCAGACCCAGGCTTCAGTGGCAAAGTCCAGCTCAGGGCAGTCGGACATTCAGCGCTCCCAGTCCCACGGGGCCCTGGACAGGCTGTGGCCACAGGTCGGGCTGGCCATGGCTCAGTGCGGCTCCAAGGGCTGCCCAGCTTTCGTGTGCCCCACACACACACTCAGGACACTGTCAGGGAGCCCCTGGGGCAGGGAAGGGGCTGGACACATCATCCAGCAGCACAGAGCGCTGTGATGTCCCCAGGGCGCCGTGTTCTCCTCCAGCACCAGCCACCCGCTGGGATGCACTCGGCCCTCGGACATCCCAGGCACAGCTCGGCTCCTCATCCACACGCTCCACACCTTCACCTCCCTCCTGTCCTGCCTGGGGGCAGCCAAAGCACAGGCAGGGGGAACGAACTGGCTCCTGCTCAGATGGAAAATCTCTGAACGAGCACAACTTGGCTGAAACCCTCCGGCCAGAACCTGTAAATCTGCTCCCCGTGACGCTGCCAGCATCCCACGGAGCACTGGATCCAGGTGGAGAGTCCCCTTGCAGGAGGGAAGGGAGGAAGCTGTCTGCAGAAAGATGCTGAATTTATGTTATTCATTCTCATTCCAGGAATGTGGTGAATGAACTTGCAAAGCCCAGGGCAGGAATCAAGTGTGCTTCAACCCTGCCCTGCCCTGACTTTCTTTCCAGGCTGAAGAAGAGGTGGAGACAAGCCCCAGCCCCACAACCCATCTGAATTTACTGTGTGTCTTTTCTTGAGGCAGCCTTCCTCCTCCGGCCCGGTGATCATCAGAGACCGAGTCTTCCACCAGGTTTTAGAGCTGCTCAAGCAGAGCAAAACCCTTCTGTCAGTGCCCAGGAAGGGAAGGGAGGGCAGGAGGGACAGGGGGGCGTGGGTCACCCCAGCCTCCTGCCTTGGGAAGGGCCATAAACACCACCCCAACTCAAGACATGTTGATATTCCAAAGATGGGGCTCACGGCAGATCCCAGCACTGCTGGCTCTTGCAGGCTCACCTTGAAAGGCACTGCCTGCATTTACAGGAAAAGCCCCAAACAAACCCTCTCCCAGCAGCTAGAGAGGGCTCTCAAGCCTCGACTTGCCTTTCTGCAGTGATCTCTCTCCCTTTAAAGCTGCTGCCAAAGCTTATTTGGGTTCATGATGTTTTTAAGTCTGTGCCCTCTTGATGGATTAAGGAAAATAGAAAAGGTTCACGGTCCAGTTTCTGTAAATGAGTCAAATTCCTTCCTTCTCCTCACAGTCAAAATCTGCCAGATTTTATTTGTGCTTTTCCCAGAAATCCCCCAGGCTGGCACTCCTGCCATGGTCCCTGTGAGCAGGTGAGTGCCCCCTCCTCCCGTGGCAGTGGGCAGCAGCTCCTCCACGGTGCAATCCTACCATCCCAAAGAGCCTCTCCAGCTTCCCAAGGTCTGGCTTGTGTAACGCTTGCACAGAGCCAGAGCCCGCAGCAGAGCTGGCACAGGCTCCAAATTTCCATTTCAAAAGAAAATTTCAGCGTGTATTTTGCTTTACAACTCTCCAATAGTGTCCTGGTTCCAGCCCTCCTCCCACAGCAGGAATGCCAGGTTCAGGATTGTTAGCTTTGGTCATACTTTGCTTTTTTTTCCCATTGTTTCATCAGTGCTGTTACAATCAGGGCGCTGCCTTCATGTTACAGCTGCAAAAGCAGAGATCACAGGGAGGTGCTACTGACAAGCTGGTAAAATGCAATGTGAAAAAAAAAAAAAAGCCCCCAAAATACCAAAGTTAACTTTAAAAAAAAAAATTAAATTAAATCTGTAACAAAAGCATTTTTGGCATGAAGTATTGTAGGAATGTTTGGATTTCTGTTTTGTTTTTTTAAATACTTTCCTGGGCAGCTTCCTGCTTCTTTTTAAGCCTGTGAAATTGCAAGCACGGCACTGGAGGTCAGCAAGCTCCATCCACGTGAGCACGGAGCAGAGCCCTCTCCAGGGATCACAGCTGAGCCTGTGACAGAGCTGCTCCCACGTCTGCACAGAGGAAAGTGAAGGATTGGGATGCCAGGGACACACAGAGAGGGAAAATACCCAAATGCCTGTGGCAAACCTTGCTACATCCCAACAGACCTGGCCTGTTTTGGGTGGGCAAGCACTTCCAGCTCCAGGCTCTCCTCCCCTCTCCAATCTCAGGGGCTCATCAGGAGGTGGGAATCAAGGAGGGGAAGGGACCTGGGAAATGGAACATTGGTCTATTTTGACCAGGCTCTGGAGCAGGAGGGTGAATAACCCAAGGCAATTCCTGCAGCAGCAGCAGCAGCAGCACAGGAATGTGGATACAGAGGAGAGATCAGCACAGGAGAGGCTTTTAGTGACAGCAGCAGCTTAAGAGAGTGACCCCAGGCTTGGATGGGTCATGCCTGGACCTACCACCCCCTGCACTTCCCAAGAGCCAGCATTTTCCTTGGGTTGCCAAAGGGATCTTCCAGCCCCTCCTCCCGAGCCAGTCCAAACATAAGCCAGTGAAACACATGGCAGTGGGGTCTGCTCCTGCTCGCCAAAAACCAGCATCTCTACTGAAGGACACGCAAGGGTCCTTCAGAGTCAGGGCAGCACAGGACGTGCTCTCTCTCCCTGCCTGGACTCGCTCCCAGAGCAATCTCTGGAGCCGCTCCAAGAAAGCTTTTAAGTTGTTGGAAACCGCAGGGCTGGCACCCCCAAGTGGTTCCTGCGCTCTCGGTGCAGCCGGAGAGATCACCTTCCCCATCATCCCCACATCCCCATCATCCCCACATCCCCAGCACCCTCAGCACCCCGGGCTGCCCGAGCTCCCAGGCACAGCCAACCCACACACGGAGTTTTCCCAAGTGATGTGCTCAGATCTCCTTTTGCTGCAGGAAGGAATCCACGAGCGTTTGCCCTCACAGAGACACAAGTGTTACAAAACCCTCGTGCAGCCCGTGTTTCTCACGTACAGAGGGTTAATCCTGAGGATTGATGGTGACAAAGTAAAGCTGCCAATGGTCACTGGTGCTGCTGGCAGCCTCAGGGTTTTGTGCCCATCCTGAGCAGCACATCCTTCAGGAATGGCTGTCCCCGCTTTCAAGCTGTGGACAGGAGCCCCTGACGTGTAGCACAGGACACACAGCGTGCACAGAGTGAATCTTGGCACTTGTGAGCAGCAAAGCAGAGCAAACAGGGGGTGCCCGTGCTGCGTCTCGGGGTCCAGAGCAGCACAGAGCTCGGACCTGCCCACGGCTGTCCCTGTGCCCCACGCCAGGAGCAGCCCCGGAGCAGCAGGACCAGGAGCTGCTGTGCACAAAGGGCTCATTGAGAGGCCCAGCCCCGCATCTGCTGCCGCCTGGAGGAGGAGGAGGAGGGAGGGAGGGAGACGCCTCTGGAGCGCTGGGAATGTTTGAAGCGCACAGGAGAGGACCCGAGCAGAAGACGGCCCCGGGATGGGACGGGAGGCTGCTGGCTGGAACCCGAGCGAGGACGGCTGTTCCACAAGAGACAAAAAGCAGATGTTTCACAAAAGCTCACTTTCCAGGTTTATTAAGTAAAGTTAACTGAATTGTTTTCATTTTGTGGGGATTCCTTTCCGTCTAACCCGGCGGGTTAGCAGAGTTGCACAGAATCACGGTTGGACTGTGATAACCCAAATACAACTTTGGCTCATCTCACCGCTGACACATATGGAATGACTCGGGGGTTATTACATGCTGTGTCTGCTTGAGGCAGGTACATGTACAGATCAGCACAAGTTGCAAATGATAGTTTACATCCTTTCAAAACTGAGCAGGGCATCCGGCAAATGCGCTGCCATGAGAAGACATATGAAAAAGAAATGATACAGACTTGCAAATACATAAGAAGTTCAAGAGATGCAAGAAACCTCAAACACAAGAAATGTCAAGGGGGGAAAAAAACACTTAAATTCAGACACAATGTGTTCAAATGAAAACCCAGCTGTAATTTAAAGTCCCTTCGAAATGGGAAACGTACAGTAACGCAATTAAAGAGAAACCAGGTCTCATCCTGGGAAACGTTGTGTCCAAAAGCACTGATGCACAAACAGGTTCAGAGTTCTAAGCAAAATGTCCCTGGGCATTGGTGTACTTGACTCTTGGAGCCAGAGCAAAGCAATTCATTACACTTGCTGGGCCTAACTGCTGGCTCTTGGTGGCCTAACAGCACGTAGGGTCCCAGATGTCACAGAGAAGGCAGCACGCAAAACTGCTGGTTACTGGGAGAAACGCCACGGGCCGCCACTCCCAGAGAGCAACTAGAGTAAGGACACCTAATTCTGGCAGCCTGGCTCCACTGCACACAACGTTAGTGTAATGTTCTGCAAGGTTCTTCACTTCTTAGCTCACTCCTTTCTCAGCCTGAGTTGGTCTGTCTTGTGCATAAGCACAACTGGCTGTGCAAAATGATCCAAAAAACAGAAGGGACAGGACCAAAGAAAACTGGCTGAACCTGGGGCTGGCTTTCAGCTCCTATTTTCAAATAGCAGTTAAAGATCGGAAATTTATCTACAAAAGAAATAATATAAATGAAATAAAAAAATGGCACCGTCCACAAAATTAAAAAAAAAAAAAAAAAAAGAGAGAGAGAAAAGAAAAATCTTACAACACAGCCTCATAAAAATGGCTTTGCAACGAGAGCTCAGTCACAAAATGAAGGGTTCTAGCTCTTCATACATCAGAAGAGGAAACAAAGCTAAAAAGTACTAGTCCACATTCTCTTAATAAGTTAAACTTACTTTCCCTCCCCCTTCTACAAAAGGGGTAGAAGCAAAAGGGAAAAGAGGCTACTAAAAATTTAAAAAAAAAAAAAAACAAACAGAAAAAATAAGAAAAAATAAGAAAAAAAGATAGGAGAGCAGGAGAGAGTGCGAAAGAGAGAGAGAGAGAGAGAGAGAGAGCAGTCTGTGGTCAGAGGCTCAGAGCAGGGCTGAGTTCCTTTTAAGGGTTTAAAAGATGCAAAACAGTTCCTCAAAAGTTCCCTCTCTTCAACAGTTAGCTCAATGCTGTAGCCATGGAAACTCAAGTAGGTACTGGAGGAGAGGCTGCCGTGGTTAATCCTCGATGATGATGGGCTCATCGTTCATGGGCTGGCGGAGCTGCACCGCCTGCATGGGCCGCAGGATAATCGGCTTGTAAGGGCGTCTGGCGGCTCGCTTGGCTTCCGAGGAGGAAAGCAGCTTGCGGATTTTCCTGCAGACAGCAAGGAAGAAAGGCACGGATTACAGAGGCACCGCGGGCTCCAGGGAAACCCGGCCGAGCGCGGCTCCTTCTGCCCCGGGAAACTCGTGTTTTCTGCTTTATAAACACCCCAACGCAGAGGAAACTGCATCCTCTGCTCCAGAATCCTTCCCCTGCAGAGCAGAAGGCATGCTGGCCCAGCCTTGTGGGGCCAGCTGTGAATATAGTCAGAACAGGGTTTCCACAGCAGGGATTTATTCCGAGTTTATTCTGATCAGATGGATGTGCTGCAGGTAGCTCTGGGCTAGTTTACAAAGCCAAGCCAAGGCTGACAGGGTGTTTCCACTTCTCCCACACTGCGTGTGCCCAGCCCAGAGATGGGCAATGTTCACATCTTGTAATTTGGTTAAGGATTTCCCTCTGCGTACAAGATAGGACTTTTTGCCAATCAGAAGCAGGAAGCTGCTTTCCATATGGAGAGAAAGTAAAACAGAGAGAAAAAGACACACCAAAGTTTTAAAATTATCCAAATAAGTTAGAGACAAATACTTAATGATTGCTTCTTTCTGTTTGTTAATACCAGACTCAGAGATAAAGGAAAAAAAACAAAAAATGCAGCAACAATGAAAATTGTACTGTGTTAATTAAAATGAGGAATTCTTTTACAGGGGATGCTGTGGTGGTCAAAGGCATAGAGAGATTAGAAAGGAAAGTAATAAACATTCACAAGAGTGGTCCACCAGGACCCACCATGAGTCTTCAGCTCAGGATCTGGGGCAACAAGAAAGGTTTGATGGATCAGCACTGCCTTTCCCCACAGGCTCCTGACAGAAGGAGGCTTTGGCTGGCCATGAGAGACAGGAGAGGAAGGGCTCTACAGCCACATTCCAGCCACCTAGCTCCCAGCTTCATTTAGGGAACACTGCTGGGGTTAAAACCCCCTTTTGTTGGTTGGTTTGGTTTATTTGTCAATGGAAAAGGGACCTTCTCACTGAGCTGATGCCTATCACTGTGCTATGATTTCTGCCTTTAAGATGTGCTGGTTGCTGAAGAAAGTGGTTAAAATACCTTCCCTCTCCTCAAGAATTTACCCTTAGCACCACCAGAACTGACAAACCACCAACTTCAGCTGAAGATTTTGAATCACTTCTTGTCAGACTTGCTCATCTCTGCATTTAGTTTTTTTTGCCCAGGACAAGCTGCACTTACACAGAAACATTTTCTGTTTGCCCAGTGCACCTTCTAAAACCAAAAGGCCACGGGGCGAGGAGAGGTGAGAACAAGGTGGCAAAGTGGTGGTGGGGGGAGAGAAAAAAATACCATCTTGATATAATGACTTTTCCAAGGTGTTTGACTGCAGCTGATCCACTTTTAGGCAGCAGAGCTCCCTGCAGCACACGCAGGGCCATCAGAAACACGTCCTCCAGCATTCTAGATTCTGATCAGGTCACCCTCTGCCTCCGCTTGCATCAGTTATAAATGCCAAGTTCCTTACTGGGAGCCTTCAATTCAAAAACTCCTTCCTTTCATTCCACCAGCTTTTCAAACTGCTCCCTCAGAGCTGCACAGTTTTCCTGCACTGTTCTCAACAGAGCTACAAGAAAAGGGGAGAGGGGAGCGTGTAAAAGTTGGGGGAAAGCTGCTTGCTGTGCCTGAAAACACAGCCTGACCCTCAGCTGGATGCGCAGATATTGCAGCTAGATCCATTGCTACCGAGCCAACACAAAGCTCAAATTGTTTCAGAGCTCACAAACAAGCCTTACATTCCTGACACTGGAATGCAGCAGATGGTTCAGGGAAAAGTTAGAGGTGAAATGCCCGACAGAAAACCCGTGCTGCTGACAATGCTCCAGCACTCAGGCTTCCCTGCTCTTCACAGCCTGCCAAAAATCTCCTTTCACCACTCATCACTCAGCTAAGCAGCATGGCTGGCAGACAAAGAAGCCTGGGTGGGTTTTTTTTTTTTCTTTTCTTTCTCTCTCTATTTTTAAATGGAAGTGATAAGATCTTACTGAGCTGATGTCTATCACCAAACCATGATTTTCATCAGAGCTGTGCTGGTTGCTGTGGGACTGATCCTTCCTGCCTCAGTCGGTGGTTCTGTATGAGCAGGAGATTCTGTGCCTACAGCAAATTCTTGTCACAACCAACACCACACTGGATGAATGTTGTTGCAGTTCTGTCCAGGTCCAAGGGCAGGACCTTGCACTGAACCATGCACCTGCTGTATTTCATGTGCCTGGGATGGTGAAGATGTCAAGAAGAGCTCCCTAGATGCAGGATTATGAAAGCCTTGAGCACCTAAGGAGTGCATTAGAGGCTGTGTACCCTGAGCCCACAATGGCACAGGAATCTGAGAGCTGCAGCAGGATCCCAGGACCTCTTTAGCAGAGCGACAGCAGGAATAAGAAAACTGCTTCCCCTGAAAATTAAATCCTTCTCTCACTTTATTTTCAATTACATATGGAATTCCATGGCATCCTTCCACAGCATCTTGGAGGCACAGAAAGGAGAAGAGAAAGCAAAGATATGAGCTGGTGTGAAATGCACAGTTGCATTAAAGGTGGCCACGGGAACAAGTCTGGGAAATTCATTTCATGTTTCTTCTGAGTTCCAACAAGGCACTTCCTGCACTGAAAACTGATTATCCAACAGATCAGTGCTTAATAACTTGAATGTTTCTAGTATCACCTATTCTACAAAGCCCATCTTTGATATAGGCCCACAGAATAGTTCCTGACACTTGAAATGCTTTGCAGGTTAAGGAGAAGTTTGGAGATGCCAGCACTCTTGACTGTGACCTTTGTGCTGAACAAATGAAGACTCAGAGCAGCGCCAAATTTAGTGGTACCAGAAGAGACAAAGCACTGAAACTCTCAATCTCCTCAGTCACTCCAAGGGTTCAGACATCCAGTGATTCCCAGGTCAATCTCTGCAGTGCAGGGGAAGGTAAATGCTTCTGTGCTGCTGGGGCTCTGATAGTGCAAGTGTTGATAACTCCAGGCTTCTGAGCAAGACAGAAGCCAGACAGCACCCCTGTGACAGGAACAGGGCTTTGCTCTGACCTTCCTCAAGGTTACCCAGGAGGGAGGCATCGAGTTCTCGGGAGGAAACCACACAAGCTAATTTCTCCACCTTCTCACCACACCCAGGAGGAACACTCCTGTCACAGGAATACCAATACTGGGAACTTTGCCTTAGGGATTGGGTCACAAAGCTTCTACCACTCTGTCAGCAGTCTGTAAACAGCTTCAAGTGAAACTCACACAAGGAAAGCTACTGTTTTTATCCTGTGGGCAGACCAACAAGAAGGACTAGGACTAGCAGAAGCAGTACCACCACAGGAGGAGGATGGACAGTGTGGGGCTGAATCTCACTGGTGGCAAATATAAACCACTGAAAAATGAGTCAACTCAGCCCATGGAAACCCTCTGGCACTCGCAGGTTTCAGGACCCAGACACACCTGGAGATGTCCTGAGGGGTAATACAAGAGGACATGCAGGGCTCTGTGGATAGGAAGCTCTGCTCCTCAGTGTCACCTGTGAGCCAGGACAGCCCTACCCTGTCCCTTTGTGATGGGACCTCCCCTCAAGGGCAGTGATGGGTCTGAACCAGGTCAATTCCCACCTCAGTCTTCCTTCCCTTTGCGCCCATCTCCTACAGCAGCTCAGCAGCTGCTCTGGAAGAAGAATCTGCTTCCTCTGGAATGTAAGTGCACAGTTATTTCCCACCCTTTACCCACCTCAGCACCAGCTGTGGTCTCTCCATTCAGCTTGTAGCATCAGCCCTGCTGATGAGATCCCTCTCCAGCCACACTGCCAGCTCCACAAACCAAAACACATCCCCTTAAATCCTCCAAAAGACCACCTTTCCTACCTGGTTTCTTCAGTGGCCATGTAAAAAACATCATCTGGTGCATCAATCCAGTTCATCCTCCTCCTTTTCACTGGAGGCATGGATCCACCACGAATTAATCGGACTTTTGTTGGGTATGATTTCCCATTGAGCAGCAAGTTTCGGCTTGGTCCCTAACGTGATACATAAAACAGCACAGTTATGGACTGCAACAAACCTGCAGCAACATGTGCTAAGCACTCAAAGGAAAAGAGAATTAAAGCTTTTGTAGGGCTTGCTGAGAGTTTAAGGTCAATACCTCCCCCTCTGGCCCAGGACTGAACACAGAATTCACACATAAGCAATTGTTCACAAGCAGTACGAGTCAGGCAATGCCTCCAATATGCAATAGGACAGCAATACTTCAGCGACAGGACAAATAATAAATGGACTGCATTACCAATAATTTGTGGCTTGTGTCTGAAAGATGACATCAAGTTCCAAAGATTGAGCATCAGACTTAGATTTCAGCTACTACCATAAATCTAGAGCAACTCTACTGATTTCAGGGAAGGAAATCTAGCTACAGAGCAAATCAAATACAAAAAAAATCAGAATTTACAGTTATTCTGGAGTACCAAACTTACCCAGATCCTTTTTGTTCTAGGGAGGTTAATATTTAATGAGGATAGTATAGAATTAAATATCTTGTTGAAAACAAAACTAATACTACAAAGCTTAGCAGCTTTCACGATAAAACCCTTTTAGTACTGAACACCACAGATTTCCCATAACACACTTGCTTTGTGAATCAACACAGGCATCGCTTTCCAGACCCACAGAAAACCCCCTTACACTCAGCTGGAAAAACATGAGCTGTTATTAAGAGAGGTGCAGATGAAAGGGAGCAAAGGGTTAAGCTTCTCAAATGCAGCTGTCCTTGATCACTGAAGTCCAGTTCTGCTGCCCCTCTTCCTGCTGATCAGCACATTGAGAAATCCCACTGAAATCAGTAACACTGAACAGCTGGGAAAGATGCAAAATGAAGGCCCAGAAAATTTGATATGCATAAATTAAAGCTGGTCAGAAAACACCCTGGTATAAATTCAGGTCTTCAAATCCTTAAGTGTCTGGTCATTGCAATAAACTCAACTGAATTTTAACACCTTGACTGTGAAAGGGAAGAATCCAGTCTAAAAACCAAGGGAAAAAACTCAACAAAACCCTGTGTCTATCTCATTTTGTATCTGAGCAGAAAACAAAAGATGATAATGACTTATTTTTTGACCAGCCTTAATCAACTGCTCTAGCAAGATCTGCTTCCTGTAGAACATCAGGGCTTTAAAGCTAAACAAACAAACCCCCACCTTTTAAAACCCTAAGCTCTTTAAAACTGTTGCATACAAATGCAATAACAATTGAATTTCTTAGTTGCCCAGCTCCATGTTATACAAAACAGCTTCATCACCACAGCAGACCACTGAAATACTTCAACAATTGTTTTTAGATTTGACATTTGTTAAGCAAAAGGTTTCAAATAAAGGCTTTTCTGATGGCTTTTTTTTTTTTTCTTTTTTACCCCCTCCAGGTTTCTCCAAGAAAATCCCTCCATTAAGGTTGCAAAGCATTATTTTCTCCACATATGCAAGACAGACAGGAGAACTCCAGAAAAAGTTCTTGGAAATACCTAGAAAGGGCACCCCTGTGCTTCCAGGTTGCCTTTTCTCTGCCTACATGGTGAAACCTATTTCAAATGATACATCCTGAAATGAGAACCTTTAATTTTTCATTCAAGCTTGATCAGGCAACCAGAAACTCAGGCAAGTTCTGGGAGTTTCACCCTAAAACAGCTAAAAAAGTATTAATTCATGAGAGATTTCTCCCCCTGCTCTGAGCTGGTTTATTCAGCAGACACAAACAAGCAGCCAGTCTTGGGATGAAGCTGAATTCAGGGAGGAACACAATTTAGCACTCTGGCTCCGGGAACAAAGCAAAGGAATGCTGTGTTATTCCAAGCAGCCTGGCACTCCCCAGCTCTGTGATCACACCTGCTGCTGCCTGCCCTGGCTCAGAGGACCCTGCTGACACTGCTGCACTTCAGTAACCAGGCAAGCTCCACTTGATCAGCACAAGATCATTGCTGGGGGAAAAAGATGTATGCTTCAAGTTGTTTCCCATAAACCAAGGGGGAAAAGGGATGCACAGCCTTTGAACTGGTCCCTTCACAATTTAGTGAGAAAGCATTCTGCCAGAGACACATCAATCAGACTGGCTATTTGCTTCTGTCCTTTGATTAAACTCAGCACAATAAATAAAAGGCTACAAATAATTTTTACTCAAAAAAGAACAAAACAAAACAAAAAGAACGTAAAATACAAGCATTCTCAGCAGGTTACTTGCACACCAACTTGCTAAAAAAATAATTAAAAAGAAACTGTTTTCCAAACAAACCCTTCCATCATTTAAACCTTTCTCCTTCAGGGAAACACATTCCACCTAGAAACACATCCCAGAACTTTGCTGTAAGCAGCCACTCAGTTTCTGCATGAGGAGAAACAAAATTCTCCATTCAAAACAAGATCTCATTTATTGACATAGACAGATTTGAGGTTTAAATTGTATTTAACCACCAAGATGATTCAGATGCCCCAAAATAATTTTTTTTTCTCCTTTTCCCATTTTTTGGGAAGTATGACCAGCTGCAAACAGCAAAGGTGGAAGTGAAGCACTACGGTTTAATAGGGTGTTCTATCTAGCGTGGGTTAATAATTCTTCTTTTCCCTGTTTTGGTTAAATGAACATTCTCTTACCATTTGTCTGGTTTGTCCGTGGTTAGGCAGACCTAACAAACAGGAAAGAGAATAGAGCTGGTAAGACCATTGCTTTTCCAAGACAGAAAAAAGTACAAAATCAAAACACACGCAGCTATGATTACAACTGTGTTGTTTTGCTAAGCCTGGAACTGAACTGACTTCTGCCCTCCTGGAAACGTGACTGAGGAAAGCTTCCTTGACAACCTGGTTTGAAGAGCAGAGGCCCCAGGTCACAAACACATTCCATTCCCAGTCTCTTCTCGTTCACTCAAACCTTGCTTCACACTACCACTAGAAGCACAGCTCCTCTTTCAGAGCCCAGGTTCCATTCTGACGTTCTCTTTTGGTCTGAGGAATTTACTGACGTCAAAAGGAGGAGAAAGTGGAAGGCGTTATATTCACTGTCCAGACAGCAACAAACAGAATCTTTCTTATCCTCCTCAGGTCCTCTGGGAGCTCCTCAGCTCAGAGGTCAGCTACAAGCTGTTAGCAAACAGAACCTGCCACAAGTGCCCACCTCAAGGGGCACAGGGCACAGCCAGGGCACCCATGGGAGCCCCGGGCAGCCTCACCCAGCAGCAGGGCTCGCTGTGCCCAGGGGCTCTGCTGGGCTCCCAGGGACCCCCAACACTGCCCTCACCTGCTCTGTGCACACACAGAGCCCTGCAGGGCTCCCAGGGACCCCCAACACTGCCCTCACCTGCTCTGTGCACACACAAAGCCCTGCAGGGCTCCCAGAGCTCCTGTGCTGCTCCAAGGCAGCCCAGCCTGCCACAGAAGGACCCAATAAAGCTGTTTGCCAGCACAGTTTGGTTTTCCTAGATGGACATTCCCAGAAAACAGCACTCCATCAGCATCTGTGCACCAAAACACCTTCCTCAGCCCCTTCTGGCTGAGAAGCAAAATCAAATCCTGTCAGTGCATCAAATCCAACAGGCTCTACAGCATGCTATGGCTGTCTGCAAAAGGTCTCAGTATGAATTCTGCTTTCACATTCATAGGATCTTTGAACCTTCCCATTGCTAGTGAGTTAGCTGGGATGAAAAGCTTCTTAGAGAATCCAGCAAGAATGAACTTTGACAGCTCATGGTCTGTATTCCAGCAGGCTCTCACTGGTAAAACCAAACACGCTGCTCTTGCATCGAGTGTGACAGGAAACACAGGGCACAGTAAAGTGTCAGGAGGGAGGAAGGCAGAGCAGGGGACATTTTCTGAGCACTGAGTATCACAAAACACCACATTAGAATCATCAGCTGATAGCAAGTGCATTTTCCATCCTGTGTGGATGTTATGCTGTTAGCCACTTCCAAGGGGAAAACACAAGGTTTCAGTTCTTGCCACATCTTTGTGCCTGGTATCCACAGAGATGAAGAAATAGCTGCCAAGAAGATTTGCATCAAGTCTGTAGGACAGATGTGCCAGGCACAGAGTAAGGCCAGTAACAACCTTTGGATGTTGACAAAGGCGGTGCAGGCACCAGAAAATCATTTGTTTTTCCATGGGAGCAGCCATGGCATCCAAAACACAGCTGTGAGCAGCTGTTTGGGATGGATGGACAAAGGGCTCCAGGATGCTGGGAAACAGCACAGCCAGCAGGATGCAACCAGGATCTGCCAGCTTCAGAGCTAAGCTCCAGCACTTGTTACTGTCTTCCCCCTTCCATAACTGAAAGATTACGTTTTCTCCATTCACAGAAACTCTGAGAGATGTAAATCAAGTCCCTGGAATGCAGCCACCAGATTTTCTTTCAACCACACTCCAGATCAGTTCTTTTCTTGTAGTAAGAACACCCCTGATGCCAGCAAAGACTGTCCTGATACGTGGCTGCTGCTGCAATGACTATTGCTGGATGTACAGACAGTAAACAGTGCTATTTCCAAGCACCAGAATTAAACCAGAATATTCCATGGTGAGAAGCTGAGGGATGCAAAGGCTGAGCAGAGCTGCTGCTTGCTCTGAGCCCCAAAGCTTCAGAGCTCTCAGGCAGCACAGAAGCAGTGCTAACAACAGGGACACACCTCCCTCCCAAACAGCCATTTCTGGGATAAAGCTGCCCATGACAGCTTCTTCCTCCAGTAAAACAGGACACAAAACAAAGCTACAGCTCCAATTTCTACCCTGGCTTTCACAGCAATAAGGTTATCAATTAGCATATTCATATTGGTGAATTAATCCATGAATTTTCACTTTAGTCACACTTCAATAAAAGGCACTAAAATGACCTGATTCAGTTTGCAATTAAAAATCCCACTAAGAGGATATGCATTCAAAGCACTGCTGTTAAATGAGCAGCTTCTGTGCACAATTGTCACCAGAGAGAGGCAGAGACAGCACATCTGTAACCCATCGTGGAACAGCTGGCAAGTCAACAGGATGCATCTGGACAGGAGACAATGGATTCTCACCCAAAAATTTTTGGTGGCTTCTGTGTAAGAGAGGAAGCCTGTGAGACAGGCACGTCTGAAAACTCAACCTGTCCTGTGTCTGTGGGCACAGACAGAATTCAGCATGCCAGACTCACACCTGCCCCATGTGCCTGCTCCACTCTCACACATGAAGGTTTGAGAGATGTCTCCCCATGCATCCACAAACAGGTTCAAAATAAAACAGCGTAAGAATTTAAATCAGAAGTAAAAGACAACAGTTCTGGCGGCTCCTCTCCAGAAAAAAACCCCAAAAAAGTCTGTATTTTATGGAGGAATGTCTAGAGATGACACAGGGTAGAAAATGTGATTATTCCTTTTGATCATATCTAAGGTCCAACTGCTTGAATTTACACAGCTCCACATCAGCATCAACACTGACCTCCTCCAAATGACACAAAAATACACAAACAACACAAGGAAGTGTTTCCAGGATTGACCAAACCTTTAAACCACAAAGTGTAAAGGTAGACAGTGACAAATCTAAGCAGGTCTTCCACTCTTCTGCAGCCAAGGAAATTGAAATATACTCTGAAAACTCCAGATTAAATGTTAGGGTGTTTTTTTCCATAGCACTGAAAAGAACCCAAAGCTGAAAATCTCTTGCCAGCCAATTCTTCCTGCCAGTCTCCTCTCTACACTAAAATAAAGAGGAAGGCCCAGAGGATAAAATGAAGACAAAGTACAGCTGCAGAAAATCATAAATTTCACCACAGATGATTCTACACCTTCCTGAAATGGCAACAGAACAGCTGATCGCTGCAGAGAGATGAACTGGCACCCCCTCAGAACTGCTCCTCAAGCTAAGCACAATCACTGAGATTTTGGTGAAAACCAGTCCAGCAGGTTATTGTGCCCTAATGATCCCTTCACTGCTGAAGTACCAAAGCTGCAGCTGAATGTACTTTCTCCCAGAGAAATACAGGTGGGGAAGGACTGCCACAAACAGCAACACAAGTCTGTTAACTGCTGCTGCTTGGCAGTTTTGTATTATCTTTCAAGGATGGAGAAACCACCTCTCAGTCAAACAACCTGCTCCTTTTCCAACAACCTCGTGTCATTTGGATTTCATGCTTCTGGATTTGTTAAAAAAACAAAATTGAATGAGAAAACTCGGTTTCCAGCTTGCAACTAAGATTTGTTTCCAGCTGCAACGACAGCACTGCCCCAAGAACGTGCTGTGGGAGCAGGGGATAGCTGGCACCCAAAAATACAGAGAGGGAGAATCAAATTTCCCAGTGAAAATCAAACCAGCACATCTGGTCCCACTGGATGCCTGACTCCAGACAAGCTCTCTGCTGCTCCATTCCCATCCCCTGTGGCTCAGCACCTCCATGGCACAATTCCAAAGCTACTCCCACTGCTCACATTCTGCCTGCTGTTTTGCCAACACCCCACTACACAAAACTGCCATGTGGAGAAGGAGGAGAGCCTAAAGCCTCAGCAGTGAGCTCCAGTGCAGGCTGGAGCACGGGGATATTCCCATGAAGTTACTACAGCAAGCTCCAAGAAGCTGCTGAGGCACTGAGAACTTTCTGCTTGCTCAGAAAGCACCCAGAGCTTTTCCACAGCTGAACACAGACACTGCTGCTGTGTATTTATTTACAGCCCATTTGACACAAGTCTGTACAGAGCTGACCCTGCTGCTGAGGAGGAAGAGGAGCACAGCTTCCAGCCAGTTGAGTTACACAACTCAGAGTTGGTAAACTTGTGTTTACTCAAAGTTACTGACTCCAATCTTCCCGTACCCACCAGACACAAAAAAATGGGTCCTTCATTGAGCAATTAGTCACAGATGGCATTTGGTTTTTACTCTGTTTACCCACAAGAAGTACCATGCAGAACATGTAATGTGCACTAAGACTCAGAAGCACATCCTCAACCACAAGAAATGCAGAGAATTTCACGCACTCTCTCACAACCAGAGACTCCACTATTGCTTTCTAAAATCCATATACTCTTCATATGCATTTTCCTGTTCCAAAAGTAATCCTCCTGCTGGGACTCCATCCTCCCCAGCAGTAACAAAAACATCAACAGTACTGCATTTGTGAGCAAGCTGGGAAAAAATATAAAAATGCATGCATGAATGAGGTTTGATGAACAAGGATTTCACTTCCAAGCTACTGGTTCACTCGAGGCAGTCTCAGTGTGTTGACATATACACACATACACTTTTTGCCAGCTTGCAAGAACCCTTTAGCACCCCTGCCTCTCTTGTAACTACCCAAGAGTGTTTTACCACTGTGAGTGTCCACCTTCTAACAACCAGAGGCCACAAACTTTCAGAAAGGTAAGCACAATGAGCAGAACAGAGCACAAATTGTGCCAAACACCACCTAGGTGAACATTTTCTTAAAATTCTGTTGTACATAAAAATAGTGTTAAAATTGCAATTTACTTACCTAGGTAAGTTCCTACCAAGATTGGCAAAGGGAAAGGAAAGAAAAGATTTAAGGTTAAAAAAGGGAAAGATTCATGTAGTTCAGAATACAGTAGCTCAGCCCCATGCAACAAATAGAGATAGACAGACTGGTTTGGCTGTAATGGAACACAGAAGTGATCACAGTTCTCTGTTGGACAGATAAAACCAAGACAACACTAAACACACAGTAACTCCAAATGAGAGATTTTGCAAAGGGCAGCTTTTATTTTGGGTAAGCACAGGTCTGTACCCAGCTCCTTCCACCAAGCCCTGCACATTCACCTCGCTGGATTTGGACAGCACTCCCTGAAATGCTTGGTCCAGCAGGTCACACTCACTTGCTGTAACCACAGCCCCTCCCAGATGATGTGTCTGCTCCTGCAAGGCTCTACCCCCTGCTACAAACACTTCAAAAACCCTGCTATAAACACTTTCTGACAGTGACATCCAACTGCAGAGAGCCAGCAGCTCTCCTTGGATAAGCACACTGAGAAGGGAAGAGTTTCAGTCTCCAGGTTGAGTCCATGCCTACTGTCCACTCCTATTCCAAAAAGGAATCATGCTGGATTCTGCCTGGCTGCAACACACCAAGTGGTTAAAAAAAGAGGAGAGAGAAAGGAGATCTCACTGCTTTAGGATTTGCTGATCCAAGCTATCAAAACTAGAAAGCACTGAATTATTCACCGTTCTCAGCGTCAGGAGTATTATACATCATATATATATACATATATATTTGTGTGTGTGTGTGTGTATATATATGAATGATATGTGTCACACATGCCACTCAATTACAAATTCAGGCTTTGTACTATCCAGGGCACTTGCAATTCTGCCCTTGCTCTGTTATACATTAATTTCCTCTCACATTAATTACACCTGCTCTCTACCATTGCCTTGGGATATGCACTCTCAATCAACATTTGCATCTTACTCCATGCCATCACTCCTGAATGAAATAGTTTTCACTAGCTGATCCACAGAGCATGATGCCCATCTGCTGATTTTATTTTCAGAGCTTTCTTCACAACACCAAAAAGAACCTAATCACAGCATCAAGGCTAAACTGGAGGCAAGTGAAAATTATTTCACTTAGCATCTGAATACAAAATCCCACATGAAATTCTCAGAAATAATCAGTATTTTCAGCAAATAATCTTAAAGCGAGGAAGTTGCACAGGCACATGGCTCTTGGGCTCTCCAAAAAACAGTTCAAGCAACTTGACATTCTTCCCAGCTGTGCTGGAGCTGGCACTGAACATTTGCTCTCTTGTCTCTAGCCAGCATTACTGGGGTCTGGACTCCAACAGCCACAGCCAGGCCTTTTCCCCAGCACCCACCATTTATTTTAATGCAACTTATGCATACAGGTAAGTCCACATTTTCTCCAAGTCTAAATCAGCCAGGAAAAAACATATATATTATATATATATATATGTGTGTGTGTGTGTGCATGTAGATATAAAATATGTTAGAGAACTCCCCCATCTTTCCACCTTGCTAGCTGGTTTTGTTCCAGAGCAGGGCTTCCACTGCCATGCTCATCTCTTGATAACTGAACTAAGGCCATGCCAGGCTGATGAATGCTTTCACTTCTGGTTCATTCACGTTTCCCCAAAAAAAAATGTGAGAAACAATGAACCAGAACATGTTAAATTAGACTGACATTCCATTTGGGTTTAGAAATCCCCAGCAGCAGAAGCAAAGGTATCCCAACAGTTAATTAACCTCGCTCAAAAAGCTGCAGCTTGTTTCCAGCCAGAGTTCCCTGCTGTACCTTCTGGCTACTGCAGCTCGTTATTCCACTCCCAGCTACACTAAAAGCCCTCTATTATTATACTTCTGCTGTTCCTGTCAGCAGAGACAAACATCTACAACTTCCACTTTGATAAAAGCATTTTCCATTATACACTGTGTTTTCCAGTCCCTTCACTGTTTTCATGGCTCTTCTATAAACCCTCTCCAATTTTCAGCATTGGATCTGCTGCCATGTTATCAATGCAAGTTTGTTGCTGGGAAAAGCCTTCCCTTTATTGCAGCAACTCATTCATGTTCTCCCTCTTTCTGCCAATTTTAGGAGTGCATGTGATGACCCTGAAAAACAAATTTGATTAGATGAAAGCCAGCACGGTGTAAAAGAGAGGGGAGAAAAATAAAAATCTAACAATGCTCCCTCCCTTCCCCCAGCAGGAATTTGTACAGAGAAGTATCACACAGATCCCACACTGCATGGATGTATGGGATCAAGTAAACAGGTTCCTGCACACAAAACATCCTCTCTCTGCCTCTCTAGAGGAAGTTTCATGGCAAAGATTGTCTGCTGAGCTCCAGAACACCAATGAAAAAACAATAAACTACTGATTTTTTAACATCTCACTCTATTTGACAGCTTATGAGACTCCATGTACTTTTCATGTTCCAAAAATAGGATTCTGCAGCAATTTGTCCGTGCTAAGTTAATGCTGGAGGAGAGCTGGGAAGTGTACTGTATGTCTAATGATGCCTCCAACATGATTTAAAGAGGAGGAAAACAAAACAGATGAAAGATCTACAATCTTCTTGTAAAATAAAGTGGAGGCAGTGAGAACATGAGATTAAGACTACTTTCCTCTTCTTGGAATTCAGGCACTGGTCAAAACTCAAAATGCCTGGCCAGATAAATCATATTCAGAGCTTGGAATAGTTCAGGTCTCAAGGGTTAAGCAGAGTCAGAAAAAAGAAAAGTTAAAATTACTTAGCTGGAGCTACAGTAGCAAGAGAAAAAAAAAATAAACAAATAACGAGAATTCCAAAGGAAAAATGTGAATTACTCCTTGAAGTTCAGCAATTGCCATGTACAGACTTAATGCTTTACACTGTACAAAGCCACAAGCTGCTACCTGGCTCTTTCCTGCACATAAACCTCTTGATTTATATTCTGTTTTAGCACCTGGCCTGCAGGAAAGCCTTACAAAAGCATCACATGCCACCAGCTCAGCCATGAATTCCAGCGTTCAGACTTCTCCCCTGTGCTTGGAGGTGATGGCCCAGCACCACAAGGCTTTTGTCACAGCCAAGAGAATTCAGCTAAAGCCCACCAGAACAGTGTCCACTGTCCCCTGTCACTTTGGCACAGTGACCTGTCCAAACCCTGGGATGTCCTCCAGGTGCCACCAGGGCAGAACATCAGCAGGAAGCAGAAAAAATTTTGCACTAGGTTTGTTTTGCAGATACAATTTTGCACTAGGTTAACATCCCTTTGGAAACTATTTGAACACAGCTGGACAAAGTGTCTTCCTGCACCAATATTTGTGCAGAAAGAATATTTTCAGCCTCTCTGTGCAGACACCTTAACACCATCTTTTATTTTTTTCAGAACACTCCCCTACAGTGACCTAAACCAGTCAGAATGTCAAGAGGAGATGAGAAACATGAGAATAACAAAGGAACACCCCCAATTTCCCACAGTATCTACAGAAATGCAGATTCTGTCCAGTTAAAACAATCCAGGCTTATTCTCATTAATCTTTTTCTACTATTTTAGGTCAGCTATAATCCAGAAATCAGTTATTCTGGATAGATGGGTTTATTTCAATCCTTTTATACTCACTCACTGGCTCTTAAATTCTGGTCACAGGGCTTCATCACTCTCACTGCCATTCACCTGTTCTCCACAGCAGTTCCAACTTGTGCCCTTCCTGCCAGCAGCCCCCCCAGAATACTAAGCCTGGATGACTCCATCCAAAACCAAGGATCAACAATCCTTCATCATCCTTCCATGGCACAGGAAACCAGCTGTGTCCATGCCCACAGCCAGCAAGGTTTACCAGTTCACATGCAAGGCAACTGGGAACCTGTGCTAGGAGGCACCAACACACAAACAGGCACCAGGGCAGAAAGAGATCCACCAAACTTCCACCATCTGCTTCCCAGCAGATCTCAATCCAAGTTCTTGAAATGTTTCCTTGCAGGTGGTTCCCTTCCCTCCCAGTCCTGGCAGAGCTTCCAGCAACCCAGGCTCAGGAAATATTACAGATGCAAAACTGCAGCGTGGCGAATATTTTCCATTCACAAATAAATCTCAACCAACAGGTTTAAGCCGAACTGCTCACAGGAATATCCAGTTAACACTCACTACCCCAGCAGGTGAACAGATTCTGGGAGTGAACTGGAGTCTGCTACCCAGCAGTTACAGGAACAAGTACTCCAGCAAGTATTTCAGTGGCTGGCTGAGAACAGAATGAACAGTTAGAGCAGCAGGTGCACAGCTACACACCCCTGCTTCAGAGAAACACAAACTCTGAGGAACAGGTACTTTTCCAAAATAATCTTGCAGATAGCTCAGCAACAGTTAACTGACTGGAACACTAAATCAGGGATCCTCCATTCCCAGAAAATTGTGTCACCAAGTCCAGTGCTCTACGCAGAGAGCGCCTTCTGGAGGGAAGGATCCATTCTTCTGCTTCCCTCCTTTGGGCCACAACATCTCTGAGCTTCCCAAGTGTGTCATCTGCTGAGGAGGACATTCAGCAGGGAGCAGCAGGTGTGCCCATAAGCAGATAGCCACCAGGAGCTGTGGAAATTCAGTGAGCTACTCTGCATCTACATCCCTCATTACTGGACAAAGCTCTTGAGGAAGCCAAACTGACCAGAGCAGCAGGGGTTTGTTATTCTTCCCAAAAGACAAGTTACAAAGCACACAAAAACTCAGCAACAGGGTATCAAGGAATGAATTTCCATAGAGAGTAAGACAGCAGAACAACCACTGTCCTCACTGCTGTATTCTCCACGTGCACTCATATTTGCATGCATGTAAATATGGGAAGCAGCCATCCACTGCCTCAGCCATGAAACACAAAGGTTATCATCAGGGCATGCAGTGCTGGCCAGTTCGTGGCAACATGTAAGCTTAAGTTTTGTGTTTGCCTGGTCACAGTGACATTTTGGGGTTGTCTGTCTCCTAAATGCTCAAAATTGGTCTGTTCTACTGAATTTGGTGAAGTGATATCATATATATCCTGCATTATCACAAATGAAAGAGTCTGACGTCTCTTCAGTACTCAGAACAGATTCATTTTTAACCAGTGGAAATTTTGAAAATCATTTTCTACTGCCAGCAGAGAATGTGCAGATGGTTTGTCACTGTGAGACTGTCCACTCTCACTGAAAAATACAGAGGGTTGAACTTGGGACTTGATGTACATACTGATGTAACACTGTCTTCTATTTATTTTGGTCCAAGTGAATTCAAAGCAGCTCAAGACTTTGTTGTGAAACTTTGCTTTCTTAGAAGTCAAACGGTGAAACAACACCTATTTTCAAACCAACCACCACAGCCTCCTGCAGTTTCACAGAACTGCTGGAAGACTGTTCTGCCAACTTGAGGAATTAGGAATCAATTCTGAGCACAGGACTTCATGTCTTCAGTAGGGTTGTACAACTTGTTGCCTGCATGTGAAAAGCCTGAAAGGTGAGCAGCAAAACCATGGGTGGAAGTGGTTACCCAAGGAACACTTAGACATCAACACAGAAGGTGCACACAGACTCATTAGCCACAAAGCACAGACAAGCCAGCAGATGAAACTAAAAATCACTCTCCTAGCATAAGCTGAGCGCAGCTTCAAGGTCTTACCCCTGCTAGGCATCAACAGGCGCTTCTTCATGTTGCCTGATAGAGCACAAGTGAACAGAAAAGAGAAAAACATCACATCAGCAACCTGAACAGCAGCAGATTTAAAAGTTCTTAATGTTAAAACACAATCAGATATCAAATGTTTGTAACTGTATTTCAGATAAGCTACATAGAAAGTTAAAATTAAAGGTAAAAAATGAGACTCTCTGGATCTCCCTCCCTGCTGAGAGTCACCCTTACACCAACTGTTGCTTTCTCCTGTTAAGGAGAGCCACTCTCTGTGTCCTCAATCCTGTTACAACCATTTCAACAGACCCTCTTCTCCTCATCTGAGACAGAGACTGCACTTTCTCTTCCCTGACATCTCAAGCAAGAGCAGTTCTTCAGAACAGAGACCTGGAGTCCACACCAGGAACATCCTGCTTCTACCTCCCACTTCAAACACCTTTCCCTTGCCTCCTCTTGAGGAGGTGAAGCCCGGGCACAGAGGTGGTCAGTAACAGGGCCAGCAAGGGAAACATCACTCAGGAAGTCTATCAGGGTATTTTTCACACTGCTAATGTAAAAACTGAAGGGAAGTTTCTCCTTTGCTGTCCCATTTGTGAGGCTGGCCAAGCCAGGCAGAGTTCCACCAGCACAGTGACTTTATGTGCATGCACCTCCTGGGCTGTGCACATCATGTGCCTCACCCAAAAGGAGAAATGGGACAGGTGGCTTCTACACAAGCTAAAAATAACCTCCCTCAAGAATAAGAAACTTGGAATTTATATAAAGGACTGTAAGTTTACATAATCTCCTTGGTCATACCAAAAGGACAGAAGAAGAAGCCTACAGATACAATATAAATTTTGTGGCAAAATATTTACCATCCATTCCATTGTGCTGTTCATAGCTTCTTTTTCCCAGGATAGTTGGGGACCCATTATTAATGACAGGTGTAAACTTAGCAGGAGTCAGATTGTTGAGAGAACTGGACAAGCTCTTTGCAGGATCTGGTTTCGGAGGACATGGATGAGATTCTGGTGGAAAACAGCAAAGTAGAATTTTTTTAATTAGAAAAGATATCTAATATATGGAATTATAAATCTGAAAACAACCTGTAAACTTCCAAGGTGACCAAGTATAACTCCTTTTATGTACAAACTATCTCAGTCAATAGTTTTGACTGGAGATGGCTACTGATATAAAGCATTTATATTTAGGAATTCACCACTACTAAAGATGTTGAAATCATTGTCATAGTATTATCCTAAAATAAGATTTGATAGCAAAAGCACTTTATATCTACTGCTCTCCAATAATTTGGGGTGATTTTTGGGGTGCTGTATACTAAAACCCAACTTTGGTCACGTTGATCATGCAACAACCCCTAAACTCTGGGAAAATTACAACTTTACCAGTTTGCCAAAAAAGTTTATAAAGAATACAATTTCTCCAATGGCAAAAAAGTGAAGATTCAAAGAACCACTATAGAGAACACAACATCTGACTTCAAGCTTTGGGCCAAGGCAGAGCTTAAGCCCACACTTTTCACCTGAAAATACTTTGATAAAGTTACAAGAAACAGCAATTGAGAATTTCAACTGAGTCTTTCTATGCAGATCCAACAGCAGAGTGAGAAATAAATTCAATCCTACTAACACCACCAAAAAAACCTTGCCAGTCCATCAGCCTCCCTCCATTCCCATCACTTTTTTCTCCCAGCTCAGTAATCTAGTAGAGACCCTGACACAGTGCAAGGCAAACTCAAAATCTACTGCTACTTTCTGTACAATTATTCAAATAAGGATTTTATCCAACAGCAAAATTCTCCCCTTCATTTGCTCTCTTTTGTTGCACTATGTATTTCCAAAGGTTTCTCCACCCATGTATCCCTCTAGCACACAGCAGAAATACAACACCCAACAGAGAAGCAGTAAATATTTAATACAGCCTCAGCCTTACAATATTTCATCAACAAAAACGTTCAGAGAAACCTAAAAATCAACTCCAGTGCTGCTTATCTAAATAAAAAGGCAATCAGCCTCCTTGTTAAGTTGGAAGCCTTCAAAGTGGCCCTGTCCAAGACTTCCCTGAGGAGAAACTCACGTTTGGCTGCCAGAATCACCTGAGGGGTGTCTGCAGGGCAACTGGGAGCACTGGGGAAAAGGATTTGGCATTTGTCTGCACTCAGCACTGGCATGTCACACAGAGTCATTCTGGATCCTTCCAGCACCTCAAACTTACACCAAAGTTCTGGTTGGAGCTACTCAGTCCTGCCCCACAGATCAGCTCATGAGGCAAAAGCCCTCAAGAAAATTTTAACTAAAAAAAATTAATTAAAACCCCAGCAAAACCCGAGAGGAAAGTGAAAAAGAGAAGTATGATCAATCCCCTTGTCTAAATTCAGCACAGAGCAGCCATCAATAATGATTCACAAACTGTGGGACATATTAGGAGGCTTCCTGGTGGACCTAGATGTACAAACTAACTCCAGACAGCCCAAAACTGGAAAAAGTGAATAATCAAATGTTCCCAAAATGTGATGTTAGTGCCTTCACTAGGAGATGGCAATTTGTCCCCATATCATACATCAGAAGCCACAGCAAACACATCCCTCCTTCCACCTGAAAAAGTTTCTGATACAGCTTTATGACCCCAGGGTGGATTGCAGGGACACTGGGTCTGTCAGATTAAATAGGAAAAGTAAAAAACAAGATGGGTTTCACGTTTTCTTTTGTTTGCAGGGTGGGGTTTTTTTGTTTGTTTGTTTTTAACCCAGGATGAGCATCTAAATCTAGACCCAAGGGGAAAATCCAGATGGTCAGCAGAGCAGCTAGGAGGGTGTTTCCTGTGTTTTGGGGGGTTTTGCATGTGATGGTTTGGTTTGTTTAATACCTAAATACCGGAGCACTGCTTCTAAAGGCTTTCGAACCACTTGCTTTAATAGCAATGGGTTTTCTGATGCCTCAGGTAAACGTGCTGTGCCTGTAAAACACAGAAAAATAATTAGAGGGTGAAGACATTTAGCTATTATAGCAAAACCAAGTGAATAACTCCAATGTCCTGAAAGAGCTTTGCCGTTAAAAGGAATTTTACAGGTGGCAAGCAGACCCTGGCAACAGGACACAACCACAGAGAATGCTCCACGCAATAGTTTCAAAACAAACAACTCATGAACTTTTCAAGTTGTTCTGCCCAGCCTACCATCAATTAGAAGGCTCTGCAAGTACAGCTAGATTTTGTGAAAGCACTAGCTACGTGCAAGAGAGCATCTCAAGAGAGCTGCAGCTCAAAACTTTGTAGGACAGGAGTCTCAAAGTCTCAAAGGAGACTTGGCAAGGAGGTCCCAGCTGCAGCACACTCACATTCTGCTTTGATTGCTGCACTGTTAATAGGCAGATAGGGGTGTCTTGCAGCGTGCCAAGGGCGCAAGATATCTCGACATAAACGTCTGGCAATTCTGGTCAGTTTTGTTGTGTGCAGATAGAAAGCTTGTCGTGTCTTCATAGCAAACTTGGGACTCCCACTGTTTCGTACCGGCACACCATGAGGACTCTGAAGGGAAAGGAAAACAAAGAGGGCTTCTGAAAAAGTAATTGTGAGAAAGGATGGTTCTAAAGGAGAGAAAGTATTACGTAAAATCACTTCAGCTACTGATTCTCAGACGTAAGAACAGAAATGGTATTACGGATCAAAATATTTTTAGCCCAGCTAAATTTCCCCATTCCCCAAGTCTTACCCCAAATATCTCAAAGGATAAAAGGAAGGTAAACCTTTTCATTCACGGGGAAGGGTTTATTCCTATGCTGCCACAAGTTTCAAGGTAGGGATCCAAAAGCCAGGCATGAAGTTACCTGGTGCTATCAGGTGATTTAGAGCTTATAGACTCAACAGTTTTGGGTGCTTAGGGTTGCTCTGGATGTGCAATGCAAACCCCTTATAACAAAGCATTTGTCAGAAGGAGAGGAAAATCAGCAAGAGCTGCATGACAAAAATATACACCAGAAACTCCCTTTCCAAAGCAAACTAATGGCATGCAGGAATGGTTTTGGCTCAAAGCTGCAAGAATTTGTTTTAATTCTTACTCTTAACTCAGCAAATGCACTCACACATGTCAAATACTCATTGCATATAATAAAGAATACAACTGAAAGATATTTATCAGCTACTGAGAACCAAAGAAGTTATCTTCTTTATGAAAAGCAACTAAGTAAACCAATGAAATAATGCAAGTAGTATCTTGTTATCTCAGACCCACCCGTAGCTGGAAAACAGGAAGAAATTTCAGTTTGGGGAGAACAAGGCCTTCCCTTCTCTGACTATTTACATACTTTTAATTAACAAACAAGAGGTATAAGGCAGTTATCTGAGCAATTAGGAGGCTTCAGAGGGCAAAGAGAAGCCTGGAAAGGATAAAGGTTAAACAAAAGAAATCGAAAGGGAATGATAGCAAAGAATAGGAGAGAGAAAATAAATTATCCTGAGATAAAAATTCAGTGTGTGCTATCCTTCTATCCATGTGATACAGTTACTTTTTCCAATCAGCTTAATGTCTAACACTACCAGACTTTCACCAAATTAAAAAAAAAAAAAATCTGAGAATTTTGGTTTTTCAATAAGAGAGGAAAAATTAAACATAAACAGCTCATACAATGCTTACTCAAACCCATCCAAAAAAGGAGGATTATTAAAAAAATAAAATAAGACTAGGTAGAAAAACAAGATAAAGGATCTCTAAAAAGCCACTAGCTATTTGGGATATATCTAATTTTGAATATGCCTTAGGAGAGTAAATAGGTTTCAGGAAATAATTAATTCTTTTGGAGAGAAAAAAACCAGCACTGTTCCCCCTACAGCAAAAATCATGGAAACCAAATACCAGAAACACTGGCTGGCATTTCAGTTTCTCCCATCTCCACTAAGTCATTCCATGCATTTGAAGGCTGGTTTGCTAAACAAATGATGGGTTTTTTTTTTTTCCTCAGGGCAGTACTTGGCAACAAATTACTCCTGGCCGAGGTTAATGCGCCAACTTCTGCTTGACACGAAATACCAAACCCAAGGACAACAAAGAAGGCTGAAGGCATTCTTTTGGTGGTTAAATATTTAAGAACAGAGAGCAGGTAGCATGACACTCAGCTTGCCAGGCAGAGGCAGCACTCTGCCTGCTGGATACCCACCAAATTATTGCGGTTTGGTCCGGGCCTCTCCCCATCTAAGCGTGTTGGCATTTTCAAGCCACCGTATTTCTTCCAGTAGGTCCAACAGGATGCACAGAGGCGACACTGCATGTTAGGGGGACCCCAATGATGATGGCTTGACTGTCATCACCACTGCTAAACACACTCGTGATTTCAGCAGAATTGATTACATTGATTAATCTACATCCCTTTTAAAATGCCAACAGAAAGGAACAATTATTGGGATGGGAAGATTTCCTGCCCATGGAACCGAAGGTTCCCTTTTTGCAAGAGAATTTCTGCAGAACATGGGAAACAGCAAAGATTGTCTTCAGGAACTTCCCACATATTTGTTTTACAACTGAAGAATGTGCAGTCCATGACCTGACTTCTCATACATTCCTACATTCCAGCATGTCTAAAGGCTCCTCATAAAGGAGCACAATCATTAGAACTCAGCATATTAATATCAGGCAGCAAATCAAATACAGTGATGTCACACATTTTGAAATCTACTAAAAAAAAATTGTTAAATTCACACGTTGGTGACTAAAATATTCACTCAATAGTTACCTGCAATTATGTAGAACATTTACTAACTCTCCCTTTAGTACTTCATAATTCTATTTACGAATATAACCCCAGTAGTTAAAAAACAAAACACTGAACAAAAACAACCTCAAAAATATTTTGCTTAAATGCTGCTACACGCAGTTCTGCCCCCCTACCCCAGCACAAGACAGCTTTTACTCGACCATTTCCACCTCAGCTGCCGTTCTGGCACTTACTGTAACAGCTCTCACAGGCCCGTCCTGCTCCTGCATTCTGTGCCTGGACTCCAGTACCATTCACCACTCCTGGTTTGACATTATTTACATTGATCTGGTTGGGGTTTGGCTTGTTGCTTAAGACACAAAGCAAAAAAGAAAGACAAGTGTTAACTGAGGCATGCAGTTTTTTATTTGACTTTTGGAGGTTTGAAGATGCAGATTTCAGCAGAACCAGCTGTTATTGCCAGCAATCTGATTTTCATGAACACACTGTCTCCAATAATATCTTTTAAATATTGATAATGAAAATAACATTTACAAGACTTCAAAACCTCTTAAAAAAACAATAAACCAGGCCAGGCAGGTATCTCATTCACAATCCCAGCTATGTGAATCTAGGTGAAAACAGATCTTATTCACAAGCCCTCAACATGAGAGATATTTTACTTAAATCTCCAAAAAGGAGGCTGGGGGCTGGAGCAGGAGGCAGACAGAGAGAAATGTCTGCTTTATTCAGGGAAATATAACCCTGGTCTGCAGTCACAAATATTTCCATGTTGTCTCACTGCATCAGGTGGCCACAATTCCCACAAGTACACCCAGCATGGAACAACAGCTGGCTCACCTCAGCTCATCCCTACACCCTCCTTAAAATGATCACTCGGGAAAAGCCAAGAGCTGAGAGCCAAAACAAAAGCTACTGGTGGGAGCTGGGAATGGAAGACCAACAAAACCTTGGCATGGAGAGCAATATGGATTAGAACAAAACCTCTGCAGAGGAAGAAGTGCCTGAGGGGGAAAATGAGACACAGAAAATGTGTGGCCATGGGAGGGAAGAAGGAGGAGAGAGGATTGCTACTGCAAGGACAGGACATCTGGGGAATGGAGGGAGGTGGAAGAAGTCCCATGTGAAGTTTCACACAAGAGCACACGAGGGGTTTATCAAACATGGAAGGGCTCTGGGGCTCTGTGAGCAGCTCACATTATGGAAGCAAGAAAGAGCAGGCAGGCTTTGGAGCCAACTGCTGAGCATAACCTGAACTGCAATGCTGGTTACATTCCTATCTCTTACCTCAAGACTGAGGGGAGTGGGAATATTCCTTTTATTCCCAACTAACAAACCCACGATTTGGAAACAGAAATATCTTACAATGGCTTTCTGAAACCCCCTTTTCTTACACATCAGTTGCACACTGACAGAGGAGTCACAGTGATTTCAGTAGCCCAGAACACTTGCTGTGTTTCACCCAGGCCAGTGCTACAGAAACAGCATTGTGGGAATAGAGCCAAATTCATTTCTTTCTAATGGGGCACCAGCATCAGGTTTCATGTTCTCAGCTATGATCCCTGAAAGCAAAGGAGCTCCAAGTGACATAATTCTGAAGACAACTGGAAAGCTGGTGCTGCCCTGGAAGCCAGAAAACATCCTTCTTCTCTGAAAATGTCCAACCAGATTCTGAGATACAGAGCTCAGTAATGCTCCGTTTTGACAGAGACAAAACAGGTGTGTTCTGCTGTGAATGAACTACAGGAAGCACACATGGGCTGTGTAAGGAGGCAAGAGTGTGTTTGTCCAGTCCAGGAAAAACTTCTGATAGCATTCTCACTGTAAAATTCAGAGCCTTTCTGCAGCAGAGAAAGCTCAGGAGGCCAAGTGCCACAGGAACACTGTAAGTAGTTTATTCCTATAGTGCACTGAGCACATATACAGCTCAAAAGCAGCACAGGAGACAGCAAAAAAAAAAAAGAAGACATTTAGATGAAATTCACAAGCCTGAACATGTTTCTATCTCCTTCTGCTTATTAATGTGCCCAGCTCCTACAAAGATTAAAGCATTTCAGGGTGCTTATCAGAGAGGCACCAAGTTCTGACCCCGCAGATGGCAGGAGATCCACGGGCACATTTAACAAAGGGACACTTGAAAGAGGGAACATTCAGGCTCCTCTGCTCTGGGATGTCACTATAGTAACCTGCTGCAAAAGAACTTCTGCCAATGATTCACCAGCAAACTCCATCTGCAAACATTGCCCCGGTGCTGCAAAACAAACAGCCCTCCCAGATGCACACTGCTGCGCCTTAATGCTTCAACATCAGGCCTGTTGCTCCCCTTCTATACCTTGGATTTATTCCCCAAAAATATAGCAAATAGTCTGGAATCCATCAGTAAAGCCCAGCAAAGATGAGTGGAAAGCATGCACAGGTGAAAGCTGACCACCAATCCATGCTGATCAGAAGGACTAACATGCTGTAGTCGTGGTTAACTCCAGCATTCTGCAGCACTACAATTAATGAAGCTGCAGCAAGCACCAGAGAGTGTCCTGCTCCAAAGCTACGGTCAAATTTCTCAGTGGAAGTAACAATAAAATTCAGACAGATAATGTTTTCATCATATGAGAAGCAAAAAGCTCTCAATTGTTGATGATATGTTAATTAAACTTGTTTGATATCACCAAAGGCTGCCACAGCGATTAACAAGAAAATCGGATGAGTAACTGGATGAATCATTAAGCAATTAATGAAGCTGAAGCTAAAGATGCAAATAAAGTAGTGAGAACACTGATGGTGTGGCAAAGTGTCATTTCCAGTTCTTGTATCAGGAATGGAAGCCTCTTAAAGGGATTCAGTCAAGGAGCAGTTCCAATCAAGTCTCAGGAAGGAGCAGTCAGTTATGCTAGAACAGGGACCATGAAGTGCAGATTTCTGGGCTGCATCCTTCGGATCAGTCTCAAGGGAAGAGATGGAGGCAATAAAGCACATGCAGAGAGAAGCCTGTCAACATGGACTGAGGCCCCTGCACAAAATAAAAACCCAACCTGAAGATAATCCTGATCAGAAGACTGATATGCCTTCAGCAGATGAGTAGACAGCATTTGACCCACAGCACGGTGATAAAATTTTTGCTGTTAGAAATAATTATAAACTTCATCTGGTGAATGTTTCCTGTTATTGAAGAACCCGTGTGTGCTGGATGCAACAGAACAATTAAGAAATAAAGCCTCAGAAATAAAAACAATTTAAAATCCTTTGTAAGGCACATTTGTGCCATTTAACTCTAGGTATCTAAGAGAAGTGCCTGGATCCAGGCAACAGAGGTGAGCTTTCCTCCCAGCTCTCCAACCTCCTGTATAAATACCCACTTCTGAGAACAGGTCTGATGATTATTAAACAATGCTTTCTGAATAGGAGCAGCTTTCTCCAACAAAATGTTGGATACTGCCATTCTAACTAGCACAGCTACAGAGGGAAAAGCAGTGTTACACCTTTTAAGTGTTCCACGTTGCCATGGGCCTCTGCACAATGAGATGGGGAAGAAAAATGGTCTTGGCTCCTCAAGCAGAGGACAACCAAGAAACAGACAAAGGAATTAGCTTCAGCTTGTTAAGCAGTTGCCCCTTGTAGTGATCCAAAGCTTTGACTCATTCCTCCAGTTTCCCTGCTGGATTCACAAAAGGGCACAGTAGGGAGAACAGCATTTCCCTGCTTCACAGCCTTTGAGAGGCTTTGTTTGCAGCCTGTCAAAGCACTTAAGAGATTCTCAAATGAAATAGAATGTAAATAGAATGCATTCATTGACACATACAGATGTTACATTTTTCACCAGTACCTTTTGGAGACTGGAAATTGTGTGGAGCAGCTCATTCTCCCCTTTCTGTTCTTACCCCTTCTGGTACCACTTTGATCAAAGCAAATGAGAGGAAAGCCCCACAAAACTGGATGTCTCAGCCTTCTCGATTGCTGCAGACATCCTAATCCCAAAAAGCACCAGCGACACGACCAGATCTTCAGCAAAATGAAGATGGTACATATGATGCCTGTGAGGTTAGTAAAACCAGAGTACAACTTCCACAACAACCTGTAGAGTGTGTCTGGCTACACACTAGAAGGAGAAAGAGTCTGAGACTACACCTGCATGAAGGTCTTCCAAGCACTGCACTCAGTTTGGAGGATGGCAGGATGTGTGAGAATGTGGAATCTCTTTGTGCATTCAGACTTCTGTTTCTGCATCAACACCACTCCCACTGACAGAGACAGTGCTACAGACAACAACTGAAACATTTGTTTCTCAGTATTCCCCCAGTTTAACTGATTTTGCACTTCTTCCTTTCACCAGAAAAGCACATTAATGCTTTTCAGCCAAAGGGCTTCATTGCAAAGCCATACTTACAGACATTAGCTTCTGTCAACTACAAATGTCTGCTCCAAAACCAGGGCTTTTCTTGGAAGAGGTACAGAAATGCTTGTTCAGTCTGGGTCACAAGTGTTTTTCTAAGATGCTGGTGTAGGACTCCATAACCTCACATCAATTACCTGTATGACCCTCCATGCTTCAGTTACCCATGTAAATAAATTTGGGGTGCGGTCTCAAGTTAAAAAATATCAGCTCTAAAGCTTTACATAGAGCTCTTATTTTTCATTGTGTAACATGTATGTGACCTTTGAAGGCAGCTTCTATTCTTTTTCTTATTATCTTCCTCCTCTCTGCTAGATTTTCCTATTTACCACTGGAGAAACAAACAAGAGCCCTATCAATGGAAGGCAGACAGAGGAAAAAAAAAAGATAAAATTGTTTGAGCCTGATATCCTCCAGAGTCTCTCACTGCCAACAATTTTACACCAGTTACTGTTAAAATGGGTTTCAGTCAATCAGCTGGTTTGCTTCTGCATAGGTCTTGTGACAGCCTGCATCAAGTAATTTATTTTTGAGGTGACAAGTGGATCATTATGGCTCAAGCCTAGAAACAGGAGTGGGCTCAGTAACACGAGAAGGACAAATCAATAACATTGATATTTAGATCCCTACACCGTGCATTGCTATTACAAGCCAAGAATATAATCATCTTCTAGATCACAAGATAATGTAGGAGCCATACAGTCCCTATGTGCCAGACCTTGTATTCAAGCTCGTGCAGAAGCAATACAAAAAGTATAGAAATATTTAATTGCTGCCACCTTTAGAGGTATTAATAGCAAGAAAAGAGCAGAAGCATTCATGTGGGTTTAAGTAAGTCGTGTAATTGCTGCTCTTCCTGACACACACAAAAGGATATTGAAGGAAGAGGAAAACATATCCCCCATTTTATCAATTAAATAATATGCAAGTTAAGGTGTAACACTCATAAAATGAACCGTGACTGGAAATCAGAGCCAGAGACAAGAAGAGCAGCCATGTGGGCAGAGCCAGATCCCCTCCTGAAGCAGGGAGGCAAGCTGCTGATTTGATTATGTGTTCTCTAGGTAGGAACAGGAATTACCTTGCTGAGGGGTAAGATGCCACTCCAGGCAGCCATTATCAAATGAGCACCACAACCCTGCAAACACCATCCCTCCCTCCACACATTATAATCCAAGAGAACAGCAGGACTGCCAGGCTCTCATCTGCAATATCCTTTTGCATCTGCAGACTAAATTATACTGCCTTTTGCTTTATGAGCTTATCACATTGTGAATTCATCTTTAATTTGATGTCCAGCGTCCCCCTGCAGAGTAACACCGTCCACAAAAAGCAATATTGTTGAAAAATTGCGTGACAAGAAATCTATTTGGCTTCACTCTGGATATTACACCTCATTTTTAGTAAATTCACCTGAGAGGTATTGACATATAATCATGGATCCTCTATTTTCAGAAGAAATAAGGGGCTGTCTTGCAAGCTAAATATATAAAAATTAGTTTTATCTAAAGTAACAGAACAGATGGTAGAAGTTCATAAATATTTAAAAGGAGACAGCATAAAAGAGCAAAGGAGTTATTGGGGATAATACACAGGGGAACATATCTGGGAGTGAAAGTTGAAAAGTGAAAGGAAGGGGTAGACTAGAAGTTCTGCATTTTAATAACTACTGATGAGGCTATGCAGAGGAAATGCAGTAGAAGACACATTTTACAAATGATTTTGTTTTTAAATATATGCATGCCTATAAAAATTATACAGTATTTTTAATATATAATAATACATAGGAAAGAAACATGCAGTGGTGATCCACTGCTGAGAAAAATTAAGAAAAACAGATAGATTACTGAGCAGTTAATTAGCTACCTTTTTGTTCACAACCATGCTGATCTGCCAGCAAGTCCCCAACTCCCAGCCCATACAAAAATAAAAATTAGAAGATAAGTAACAGCCACTTCAGGATGGGAACATTACAGAGGATGCAGGAAATGAGCAACATGACAGCACAACCAGGAAACAGAGATATTGGTAGGACATGGAAACTGCTGGAAAACACCAGTCCCTCTACAATGAGACAGAAAACAAGAGATACTTACTAGTTGGGTATATACACTTGCTTTAGCTTGCTCTCTGCTTCTGCTGCTTTCAATCGTTTCTTGGAACAGAAAAAAGAAAATGGTTAAAATAAAAAGAAAATAAGAGCCATCTTACCTGAGGCAAGCTGTAAACCTGTAAGGACTTCAGCAGTTATTTACTGAGCAGCTACCACTAAATCTTCTGCCAACAAGAAAACGTTCACTGAAGACAACTGTGGGCATCACATCACTATGTAGCTTTTCAAAAAAGTCAGAGATGCCAAGCTGCTATAAGCTTTTAATTTTAATTTTTTAATTTTAAAAGGCCAAACTTTTAATTCCCATTCATTTCAATTCAAATTCCTTTTTTTAGAAGTTTTTATTTCCCCTGCAGAAGAAAAATCTGCCATGTCACTGTCAATTCTCCATGATAACATTCACCAACTGGACAATAAGAGATGCAATGCAACCTTCTCCATCACAGCTCCCCAACAGCTGCACCAATTCCAAGTTTCAAGTAAGACTTTTGTGTTGATACTCTAAACTCCTGAAGGCTCAGTGACACAGGATATTTTTCTTTAGACATTAAGAAGGTAAATAATAACTCAATTACTAAGAATATTAAGAAGGTCAATTTATAACTCAAACCTTCACCATTTAAACAGCAGGAGAGACACTCTGAGATTCAAGTTCTCTCTTTATTACATTTGCAAAACAAATTTAGGGTGAACCTCTGGAGGTCTCTAGCTCAACCTCTGCTCAAAGCTGGCACCAGCTATGTCTGATAAAGCTGTGACAATGTTTTCCAGACAAACCAGCAGCAGGGGGATATTCCAGACAAACAGGCTAGCTTAACATTTTCTATGCAGTAGCCTCAAGGCTACAGTCTAGGAAAATAATTGTAAAGCTGAAGTCAGTATCTTCATAGAAGCAGGAAGCAGCAGAAAACATAATAAAATTGAAGAATGTGCCACTGAGGAGCTGGACAAACATAAAAATGATTTTTGCAGAGACACCACAGACACACGCAGAAAAAACAAAGTAAATGTTTCCTGTAAGCATAAAGCTTTTATCAGGACAGTTTTAAACAGCAATTTTCCATAGGACACTCCAACAGCTCCTCACCAAACCTCTCTAGACTCTTAAAGAATTCCCCTCTTCCCTTTTCCTGCAAGTAACAGTCAAACTATCTTAGAAATCAACCTGGGACATGAACTGCTGCCTGAAAACTGGCCTCGAGAGAAGCCAAACCAAGATCTGGTGGAGAAAATCCTTATCAGTCCTAGAGATGTGCAGGGATTGATAACACACATCTTGCTGCCAATCAGTGATGGAAGTGAAGAGGTTCTGTTCAAACTGAATGTTTTCAAACCACCCTAACTGAGCATCTTTATGGAAGAAACAAAAGCACCCAAGGAGAGCTGTCACAATGGTTCTCCAAACAGCATCAGAAATCCTCCTCTACCTTCTAAAGAGATGCTACACAAAAAAAAACCCCCCTTAAAATGCATGCTCAGGTGCCCTTCAGCCCAGGAGCTGGAGCCTCAGCTGAAAAAGAGGACTTCATGCTCCAGGCACAGACTGCCACAGGCACTTACATCAGCAGACAAACAGCTCCAGAGCTCATGGTCCCCCCAGGAAATACATGGAAATCCACCACCAGGCACTGACAAACAGCTTAAAATGCTGCTTGATGACCAGTACCAGAATCCAATTTCCTTGAGAAAGGAAGTTCAGGAAACTTGCACTGGTAGAGAACTGTAGTGCCTTTTAAGTTTCTAGATTGTGAGAGGAAAAAACTGCAGTTTTCTTGATATCATCTCCCAAGGGGACTATCTGGCATCATTATGTTATGACAGTTTTGGAAATGTATGAATGCAAGAGCTTCATCCAGGCACAAAGCATTATCAGCAACTGCAATATTCTCCTGTGCACAACATAAAGCCATTTGCCTTGGGGACGTGGCTAATTCAGGGTATTAAGCAGTATTTTAGTAAACAGGTGATGAATGTTAACCTCACCCCACGGATTTCCTTTGTGACTGATGACTATGGAGTTCTTAGCATGAGCTAAGAACTGCCACAAGTCACCTGGACCTCAGAGCACCCTCTTCTCCTGCTTGGGGAGCAGCAAAGGGCACACACACCCCTATTACAAACACCACTCCAGGAAAATTGAAGGTTTCCAGAAGGTACCACAAAGTCCTGCCCAAGAAGAGGCTTTGCCCCAAGTACCTGTGGGCAGATATGATGAGTTTCCTATTGCCTGACAGTGACTGATCCCAGAAGATAAAAAGAAAGGTGCCTGAAATGTAGTTGTGTACAACTTGAGAATAACCCCTTTCCTGCAAGAGTGCTTTGCTAGGTCCTTTGCCAGTTATTAATTGATCTGTGCCTGAAGCATATTTATGCTATAAATTCTTAATGCTGTCTGATGTAGTTATGAATATCCTCACCCCCAAGAAAAGCCCAGAACATTTGTAACTTTTTCTAGTAGTTTGGCCTAAAAAGAAAATCCTTTTCTGAGTTGTTTATATACACAGATCTTAAGTATATCCTCTTATTTACCTCATCATATTTTCCCCATCTATAAAAGGAAGATATTACCAACTTGTCTATCCCACAGGGACCAAGGGATTAAAGCACTAAGCACTGTATATTCAAGTTGGTGCAAACATCTGTCTTTTATATATCCTCTCCCAGATGTGACATGCTATCCACTGAGCTTGAAAGAGTTTTATAATGACATATCAGAGCAAATGTTTGTGGTCATTTTTCTAGAGAGTGAACATTTATAAAGAGGAAATAACAGAAGTAATCCAGGAACACTGTGGGTATTTCAACATCCACAACACAAGAGCTGGGTTGGGGATGCCTCAGACACCCTCAGATGTTAAGCCTTCATTAGTTTATGATAGGAGAGACAAATTACACCTTCTGGGTTCAGAGGAGAACTTTCAGGCTGTTTGTTGTTTTTTTTTTCAAGCCTCTGAGCATACAACAGAGGTCAGGGAGGTGGGACAGAAGAGGGAATTAGTCTGTGATATATTTGAGAGAAATGCTCCCAGCTGCTGGTGCTCCATCAACACATCTCAGAATGGGTGGGTTGCCATATTAACACAGGTTCAGCAGGAGGTGTTTGGGGATAAAACATGCCACAAATGTGGAAAAACCTCTCACTGATGTTTTCTCTACACTTCAGCACACAGGACTTAATGAAGGCTGGTACATTAAGGCATCACTCACAGCTCTGGGCTAGGTACAAAGCAGGCTTGAATGCCTTCAGAAAGATGTTTTCTGCCTGCATCAAGACTGAGCCAGAGATCCCAACCCCACTGAGTCAAATAGAAGGGCACTTCCACTTTCCATGCCATGTTCTCACCATGCAGACCTTAAGCCAAACTTTCTCTGTCTACTCACTCCTCCTATACTTCTCTAATGGCACTTCCACATAAAAAATAGAACAGTAGAAATTGATAGTATTTGATTTTCCCCTTGAAGTTACCTGCTCCTCAGAAACAAATAAAAATGGGAAAAGTAAATTAAAGCCCTTCACTCTCAGAAAGAATGTGACTAATTCAGTCATCTGCCACTGTCATGTCCCAAGCTTGTCTCAACCTATGGAAGGTTTAATGTTTTAAAGTTTTCAGGACTTCCTCTAATGAGAAGCACAACAGTAGAAGCATTTAGTCTTTAAAAAAACCACCCTGGAATTCACAACTCTGACCAAATGAGAATGTAGACATAGCCAAACACCACATCAACCCTCAGAGCTCTCAAATCACTGGGAGAAGCCAACAAAGAGCTGTCGATTGGTCAAAGCCATTTCAAACCTTCCTTAATCAGAAACAGACACAGAAAATCTGTCCCAGGAGAAGAACATGTTCAGAGGAAACCCAGGGTACTGAATTTGGAATGCATCACCCTCGTTTTGTTCATGACAGCTCTGAAAGGCTCTTACTGACAGGACAGCTCCTGGGATCACTGTGGAGCTGCACTAAACCACCAATTCTGTGCTGACATCGTGGCAGGATTAGTCCTTCCAGCAGTTCTGCTCTTGGAGGGTCAGTCCTTCTCCAGATGACTGAACTCCTACTGATGCTGCTAATCCTCAAAAGCATGGCACAGCTAAAGCCAAATAAAAATTACTGGGTAAGAGATGCAAGTGCATGCTGCAGAAGAAGCCAATTTGCAGACATCTCCACCTCGCAGTGCTGCACTGAGCCTGATCTCAGGTACACCAAGCATGAGTACAAGTTATTGTTCAGTTCTCAGAAGGGTCCTTCTGTCACAGGCAACTCAAAATGTCCCTTCCTCAATGGCAAGAAACAGAGAAACTGTGATTCAGTATTACAGCAGTGTTTTCTCCTGCCAAGAAAACATCAAGGGAAATCCAGAAATCCAGAAGGATGTAAACAGCTCCCAGCTAACTGTTGCTTCTTCATCCAAGAAGGCAATTGGCTGGTGACACAAATCTTCATTCCTATGTTTTGTAACTCACAGGAAGAGACAATTCAAATGCATGTTTAATGTTCATTCAGCCAAAAATTTGACCAGAATAAGCAAGATTATTAAGTTATTAATACTTTCATTAAACCCTGTAACATACAGACTTGGAATATAATTTAATCACATTCTTGGAAGGAGGGAATTGGAAGAGCAAAAACTCGAGGTACACACTTTGCATATCCTTACTTGGGATACTTTCAATATCTTATGTAGAAAAATGCTGTCAGCCTCAGAACCATTTTGTGGTATTATTCCAAGGGAAGAGTCTGCATAGAATAAACACTATGAAGAAACAGATGGAAAAAATGGCAACAGATGTACTTTGTCAAAGACACTGCACTCATCAAGTAAAATATAAATGTAATACACCATTTATTTGAACTACAACTTCCTATGCTTTCTCTTTGTGGTTACATATAGATAGCTCTCTCAGGGTTTTTATAAATGCTTCATGGTATTATTTGCTTGTACAAGCTGGGAATTTGAGATGAGGTCTTCAGCTCAGTTCAGACCTAATTGATGTGGTATCTCTGTCCAGCTTCTACTGTCCCCTAAGTGCTGAGTCTCTAATTGGAAGTTTTCCCCAAATCCTGGCAAACTCCTGGGCAGCACATTTAAGGTACAGCACAAGCTGGAGAGCAAACCCAGTGCTCAGGAATAGAACAAACCAGTGTAAGAAACCGTAGGCTTGTTGTGCTTTTTAACTGATGCAAAAACAAATAATTAAAGCCTTTACATAATTATCTCCTCTGCAGTTTTGCCTGTGTAGAAACAAACTTTAGGAAAATAGAGAAAGCAATGGGGAAGGAAAAAAACATGAGTATTATTCTTCCCCACTGTGCCAGCTTCCATCACCATCACGTGTTCCTACCACCCATTTCCTAACTGGCAGGAAAAGTTTCAGTCAAAGAATGAACGTGGGGAAATAGTGGAATGAGGATACCACTAATGTTTTTATTTAAAGTAAAATATAATTGATGCAAAAAAGAGTTCTCACTTGTCATGAGGGTGCCTCTGTAATTTCAACAGTGCCCCAACCAGAGAGAAAATGGTAAAAATCACACTACAGCACATGGTAAACACTGGTCAGTGCCTCAGGCATCTGGTCTTTACCCCAGGCTGAATTTCCAAGGAAACAAGGCAAGTAATTGCCACAATTCCACTTTTTCTAATACTTCAAATAGATGCCTCAGCTTAGGACTGGTAATTATAATGAAAAATCCATTCTAAATTTCTCCCTTCTTTTACTCAGTTTTCCTGTTAAATATCAGAAGTAGTTTTCAGCAACTGATACTCTGGCAAGACTTTGCATGCTGCTTGCATTGTGCTTGCCTTATTTCAGGGACCTGCCAGCCTTTGTACTGAAACAAGCAGAGACAAAAATGATTGTGAACACTAGTGAGAGCTGATTCTCCAGTATAAGGAGTCTGGGAATTTGAGGCAGTGACATTTCCCAGGTGAACACTTCACTCAGAGCTGACATTGCAGCCTCGTGCATCTGCCCCTGGAGTCATGGGCAGGCAGTGCTGGGCAATCAGGGGCTCCTGTACAGCATCTGCTCCCCAAAAAGTCACTGAAGGTAACACTGACCTTGAACTCCACAGCCAAAAAGCAACTGCTCTGCCTTCCTTCCTCTGCTGAATTCCAAACCAGACACTAGAAAGCTCTGAGCAAACAGGGTAGCAGCAAACATGAGAAGAATGCACTTCTACCAGTGCTGTTTGTTATCTACAGAAGGGCTGATGAGTTTAGGGACAAGAGATTGTTCTGATCATAACAGAACTCACCCATTGGAAAGCCTGAACCCCAAGAGGGAGAATAGAGAAACAAAGCTTGGTTTCACAGGCAAGAAAAACAACTTCAGTTAGTATGAGAGAGGTGATTCTGGCTCTCTTACCTGCTGAACGTATCTGTCTGTAGTTTTCCACATATAGTAATACTCTATAATGCTTGTTAAGGACTTCCATGGGAGCTGGGGACACAAAGGAAAAGCAGCATTTACTGAAGGGAGCTGGCACAGCCTCACTAAAATTCACAGGATTCTTCTGACTGACGATTGCAGCAGAGTCTTGCAACTACTAAACCTCAAAAAAACAGACAGTCTGAATCTACAAAGTGGATTAGATGCACATGGGACCCATATTAAATTAAATGCCTTTTCAGAATACTCTGAGCTTTCAGTGTAGAAGTGGAACAGGCTGCAGGTAAATCTTCATGCTGCACTGGCTCACAGCAGTGAGCAGTGATTCCAGAGAGGCACAATGTGGAAGGGAGCCCACAGGCTCAGACCCTCTGCTTCAGCAGCAGACAGAAGCAAGAGTCACAACTACAGGATCACAGTTCCGATATGCCTGGCTTCAATAGAGCTGGCCCATTAGAAAAAAAACCAAACCAAAACAAACCACCAACAGAACTGTGCCCTGCCAGCTCTGTTCTGCGTGAGAAGCATGAGGATTTCAGCAGGACCACAGAGTGCTGCTGTCTCCAAGTCCCTCTAAGAGATTAGAGCACAGGACAAACAACACTGAAACTACTTGTTTTGTTCCAGAGGACTTGAACAACAGCACAGTGAAACTTGGCTCTCCTTACAGTGCTCCATTCAATCTGCAGGCTGAGCACCTAGGGTGGTGCTTTGGCCAAACTACAGGACACTTCTGGAACCACACTGTAAAGGTGACTACATTTTCATGTTTCAGAAGGCCCAGTACTTATCCTCCTTCAAATACAAATTAATCTAGAGCATCTTGGCTGTCACAACACTTTTCTGCACCCTCCCTCAGCTGTAGTGGAACAGATGATCCTAAATTAGCGTTTCTAAAGGAAAAGCGATCATCTGTGATTTGAAATTCTGACTGTACACCAGGCTGTCACCAGTGTGAGGTCTGCCTTTCCCCACTTTACATGCTCCAGCTCAAAGCCCCCTTGTTCAACACAATGAAAACACAGGGTTTTTTTTTCTAGACAAGCTGCAAGCCAGCTCTGTCACCAATCAGAGCCGGTCCCCATGGGGGCCCCATTTATATACTTACAAAATCTTGCTGAATGTCAGTGAAATCTTTTCCATATTTTTCTAGTGCTTCCTCAAAGAGGTTTGCCTCTGAAGCAGACCACTCCTCCATCTCATCTCTGCACAGGACTGGCCCACCTTGTGGCACAAGTGCTGAGATTGCCTTGGAAATGTCATAGACATTTTTGTGCAAAGTGTCCATAGCATGGAACTGCGGGGTTGGAAAGCAGAAAGAAAAATGTAAGGACAAGTTACTGGGGGGAAAATGTTCAACAGTGGAACAGCAATGACAAATTCTGCACAGAGATTTGAAGGTGCAGTATTGTGTACCTAACAAAAAGTCAGTAAAAGCTGGTTCCAACCTCACACTGACTGTGGATGTCAGCATACAAACCTAACAATCACCAACAGTGAGGTTTGTGGAATACAAGCCCTTGTGTATCAATTATTCCTATCAGCTCCTCACCAACACCACCACTGCAGCACTGCTGGTAAGAAAATGCACAGGATAGATCCAGTCACCCCAGGATGGGGCATGGAGACAGAGATCCAAGGGCAGTTCCTCACAGACATAGCCATGCACTTCCTTTGTCAAATAATCCACAGAAATTTCATATAAGAAAAACAAGAGCAGCAAGCCATGTATACATCCCCCCCAAAAAAAGGGCAGAAACCTCAACAAAGATGCAAGTTAAGTCACACATCACAGCTGAGTAGGAAAAAAGAATGACTCTCAGGGGCAATTACTCCTCAGAAAGCCGAGCCACGGCTGTCTGCAACTTGTGATTTACAAGGGCTGAGAACATGCTGCGAGGGAGGAATTGCTATTAGTAAATGAAAGCTTGGCTTTATTTCCCCATTTCTGCAGTTTTAATCAGGATGTTATTTGCCTTTCATCATACCAGTTTTGTGCACGTGCATAATTAACCTACACTGTTCTAGACTAGAATTTGTTCTGCATGTAAGTTTACATTACCCCAGTTACGAGGTGAGGCGTTGATAACAGTTCTCTGGAGACTTCATAAATTTTATTCAAATTTTCATGAAACTTTCTGTAGCATGAAGGTTCAAGCTTTTTCCCTTTCCTCGAACTACTCAGCAACATTTATGGTTATGAAATGTTAACAGTATCACTGCTCCTCAGGTACTCTAAACTGGAGCTCATCAAGGAGAACAACATCAATAGACATTTCTTATCTGACCACAAGCTTTTGTCCCAGACATCCTTGGTAAATCTTGCCCAAGGATGGCAGTGACAGTCTGGAGCTGAGGAAGTGATGGAGAATGGCATTCTGGCATTTTAACATCACAGCCAGGCAGACAATAATTTGCATTCTTCTCAAGAGAGCTACTGAGCCCATGCAAGGGATGGGCTGTCAAGCATGTCATCAGAATACTGTAATAAAACTAAGCAAAAAAAAAAATCAAATTTTCTCATAGTATTATCCATGATAGATCATAAGAGGCACAAAGCCAGAAAAAGTTACTTCATCTGTAACTAAAGGATTCCTTTACAAAGGCAGGGTCTGCTTCACAGCAAGCCACAATTACAATCCATCTGCCACTCTCTCTTTGCCAACTGTTAATGCTGAGGTGAGTATTTTGCATGTCTCACAAACTTAAGGTCCTCTAAAAAATAAAATCTCACCAGTGTGATGTCCCTGGAGGCTGCTGCAGCACTCATGTGCAAACTTGGCTGTCTGACAGAACTACTGCAATCCAGGGCTCGGGCAAACGTACCAACAGACCTGAAAGAAATTAAACCCAGCGTTAACTTTGCGTGCAAATCCAGCATAAATATAAACAGCCAACACTTTCTGAGATGAGCAGACTCCACTTCCCAGCTACGAGATCACATGGTTTGGCAGTCATCCTGAGCCAGAGACCACTCTCTCCAAAGGTGGTTTGTTACTGTGAACACTTTACTTAGTTCATGTGACTGAAGAGCCTTAGGCATGGGAGAGGAAACAGAGAAAGACTCAAGGGTCACCAACAGGGAGTTCTCAGCTCCTCTCTTGTCCCTTATCTCCCAACAGACTTGAGCTGCAACAGGAACAGAGCACAGGCAAGCTTTATGAATGACAACAGTCTCTTCCACAATGGCAAGAGCAGTGCTGCACTGTCCAAAGGCACAGAGGCAGATGCCAAGATCAGACACAAAAAATGCAGCAATGTAAGCGTTTTTCTAAAAGTTCCAGAAAACTAGAAACAATATTATTTTACAATTTAACATTGGATAATATAGATCATAAAGCCTGCATAACACAGCCCTTCTCAAATACTTCACAACTCATCATTTCTGCACCTGAGACCAGAAGTCCCAGACTCTTATTCCTAAAGAAATAAGTTGGAGAAACCTGTAACAAATATCAGTTCTCAAAATTCCTACTCCCCTGCCTGCTTGCCACCCCACATGGGTGAAACACTCGTGCTCCTGCACAGTGAACTGGAGCTGAACTCCTCTGAGCAACTACAACAACAAAAAAAGGTGGGTTGGGTTTTTCACCCTCCACTCAGGTCACTTCCCCAAACAAGCTGAGAGCACAGAGGAACACACTAGTGCCAAGCAGTGCAGGAGTAGGAAAGGTAAATGTTTGAGCAGTAGTTGTCATCAAACAACTAAGTTTGGCCAAAACCCAAAGCAGCCTCCCCCACCCAAGTGTCTGTGGCGATTCACACTTCACCCTCTCCCAGCCTCCCAGTCACTATCCCCAGCCCTGCCTCACAACTCCCCCATGCCCAGCTTTAGCTGAGCTGATCCTTCTCTGTGTGTGTGTGTGAACTAATAATAAACTGGAACAGTTTGCTGATTGTGAACAGAAGCAATTCCTGCACTCACCTTTGCAGTGATTCTCATCACAGCCCGCACCTCGCGGCACCGGCTGCACCCGGTGGGCAGCACTGAACTGCCAGAAAGAACCACTAAAACCAGCTCTGCCACCCAAACCCTGCACAAGGTGCAAACTCCCATCACAAAGCAGCTCCACAGCCACTACACACCAAACCACATGAAAGCTCAAGAGGGGGAAGGGGAAAAAAAGAAAAAAAAAGAGGTAGGACCAGGGCTGATCTATGAAAGCACCACCTAAAACAGAGAATTTGAAGAGTGTCACCTGTGCACTTCTTCTCCCTAAATTATTCAGTAACCAATTGCTATGGGAGCCTAAAGTTTAATACAGGCTTCTGTTTATAGAAATGCATGCCAAAGAATTAGGTCAAGAACACTTAAAAAAGGAAGATTTAATAAATAAACATTTGATCAAGAAAGATGGCTTTGGGCTTCAATGGAAACAACATCAGTACAGATGTGCAGGGTTTTATTTTATTGTGCCTACCTCCTGGAATCTAGGCATCAGAAAGTATCCTCAGCGTGTCATGAGCATTTACCAGAATTCTTAGCAAACCATTAATGGATGTTAAAAGTGTCACAGGTTTTGAAAAAGGCAGTAAATGGACAGAGGAAAGAGCTGCCAAGAACTTAATTCACTAAGTCTTCTGCATGCTGACCAAAGTATTCAAAAAACCTCACCAATTACTGGATCACTTTCACATGCAACTTGCTTTGCTTTTATGAAACCAAGCTGTAAATCTGAGGAGCTGATCCTGAAGTCAAGCTATTCCCACAAAGGCATGTAAAATGTACCTCATCTTAAAGTGGAGCAAGTGAATCAAGCAACCAGAACCAGCACTCATGCTAATAAAACAAAAAATGAGAAAGTGCTTGGAAGAGTTACAGACATTTACTTCTTCAAAGGAGAGGTGGAATGCTCTTACCGTGCTACCACCAGGAACTGGTCTATCTGCTTGTCTACTAGTGGGTTAAAGGCTTCCCAAACTTTTGTTTCAAGTTTTGACTGATCTCTTCCATCATCCTCACCTGGTTGAAAAACAAATCAGAAGTGTTTAGTATGGCTCTTTTAAAATAGAAGTACTTTCTAGATTATTTTTTTTATCTCACAATAATGTCACTTTTAGCCTATCTTGGTTACTCTGCCTGACAGACCACTGTGAAAATTTCACTCACTTATTTGTACGTGACAAATTTAGCTTGACAGACACAGCAACACAGCTCATCCAAACTGGGCAATCAGATTTCCACAAACTGCTGTCAGAGGATGTGTCATGGGAAACAGAGTGCATCTTTCTCCAAACTAGACACTTTCTTTTCAGTTTCTTTCCCCAGCTCGTCTGTCTTCCTCCTTTATCCTGCAGCAGCTCCAGGAAAACAGACACACTCCCAGCTGCTCTGAGCAGGCAAAGAGTAGCTGGTTCCCACCTGCTTTTCTAGGGGGGAAACCATGGCATCAGACACTCTAAACCAGAATACCCTGGTAAAATACAGGAGCTCCTGAGCCCTTCTTCTTTCTGCTTCCTTTAAAACATCTGGTGATTATCCTTCTCTGAAGCCCCTTGTTGGCCCACTGAGGGAGCAGGACGCCTTTCAGAGTACTTCATCCTCACTTAGGAGATCTGCCCAGCTGTTGAATAAATACCAGTTTCACAGACAAATTAAACAAGAGTCCTGACATGCTTTTTTTTGCCTGTTTTAACATGAGACTAACAGTGTCAGCAGAGCTTCTAAGCAAAGACAGAAGCCATCTCATTGCTTCCACATCTTGGCCCTTCCAGACTGGATGTGTTCTTATGGATAAACCTTTCCCTCTGTGTTACACAGGGCTCAGGAAAGAACAATTAGATGCCAACACTCCTCAGTTTTCTCACTCTAACTCTCAGTTTTTCCACCCACTTTTGGATCTGTAGGGCAGTGCAGAGACAAATCTAAAGTTAGTTACTATCTGATAAATATTCCTGGTTCCTGCTCCTTCTCCCTCATCCTCAGGCCGGTATCCTCGTGGTCCCACTGCTCCATGGCACAGTGGGGGCAGGCTGAAGTCTCAACACATGCTCCAGCCAGCAAATTCCTCCTCCTGCCTGTTCTGCAGGTGAGAAGTGCAGGCTGGCAGCCAACAGCAGGATGGGGAGAGGGCTCCAGGGAAAAGGCACCCGGCAGTAATGGGCAAATTGATGAGGGCAGACAGCATTTAATTGGCAGTAATTTGGGAGGGGGCTCTTACAGGGAAGTGAGGCTTGATTAAAAACACAAAAGGCTTTACAGCTGTGGTGGAAATCTGTGTTTCCCATGGAAATTCTGAAATCTCTTAATAAAAAGAGCGCAAGCTCTGAGAGAGCCCATTAATTCAATTTATTTCAACAACTTTTATGATTTGGATGAACGCCCATTTAAAGACCCGTTTGCAAGAGAACTAATTGCCTTCAGTGGGCAACAGCCTCAACAAATCCAGCCCTTGCTGCACACATGGCCTGGCAGTGGAAACCATCTCCCACACCTAGGCAGGCCTCACACAGAGAAGTGGCCACATTAACTGTGAACTCTTGACAATTTAAATAAATTACAGGAATTACCCTCTTTTAGTAAGTCTGTTATATCTGCCTGGTATCTGTTTCCAACTCGAATCTCTCCTTTGTCAGCAAGCAGGGTCTTTTGTTGAGGATCATACACTAGTGAATAAAAGAAGAAATCCTAAAAATAAAACAAGAGTAAAAAGGTAAACAGTGTTATTAGCTTTTACTTACAGCTTTGTGACCATACTACCGAGTTTTTACAGTTTTAAGCGTGGTTTCATTACCTACATATAGATTTTACAACTGGGTGAACAAAAAGTAAATGAACCACCAGTTTTAAAACCCCCTAAAAGTGCTGCCACTTCCACATTGCAAGTGTTGGCTCTGAACAGCAGCCTCTCCCTTAACATACAAACTGAAGTGAAGAAAGCTCCTCTTGCACAGGCACGGCTCAGAAGGGCCAGGAGACAATTTTTAGTCACATCAGCTGTTCCAGAACACAAAATTGCCATATCCCATGCAATTCCCACATTCCAGACCAGGAGGATTAGATGCCAGTGACCAATCCACACCAGCACAAATTGAAGCATGACTTCAGAGTGTTACAGCCAGACCAAAGCAACCCCACAGAAGCCTGAAGCTCCAGACAAGCCCTGTGGCCTCTGCTGGGCTTGCTCCAATCTATCAATGTCTCTCATGCTGCAAGGCCCAAAGCTGGGCAAAAACCTACACAAGTGGTCTCACAAGGGATAAGAGAGGGGATGAACCCCTTCCTTCCACTCCTGCTAATACAGACTGGGATGTGCTCAGCTTCCCTTGTCACAGGGATGCGCTGCTGACCAACTTCTTGCCTGCTGCCATCCAAGCTTAAACCACCACGTTCCTTTCTGCTTGTTATTAGGAGAGGGGCAGCAGATTTGGCAGCAGCAGTAATTAGCTGCAGGTGGCAATCCATTAATTTGTTGCTTTTGTTCAAGTAGGTGAGGAAAAGGCTAAAATAGCTGCTTGGCTTCCTCTACCTGGGTGTGTAAAATTAAAGCAAGAAGGCATTCCAGAATGAGAATGTTCTGCCAGGGCAGAGAAAGCAAAGAGCCAATTTTTTTTAACCACTTTAAACTGTACAGTTTAAGTAATTAAACTTTTCTGCATGGATAAGTGCTTAGCTATAGCTATGGAGCAGGTATGCTCCATATCACAGTATAGTGTGCAGTTCTGGGCAGGATTAGAGCTCTGGCAGGACATGGAACAACAGAGCTTTTGTAACCTCTGTCCCCAGCAACATGGTCACCAGGAAAGAGAATTGTCTGAACAGAAACAGGATGTGCAGCGTGCCATTTTCCACGTATCAGGTTTCTGCCTTATTTTTTCACTCCCCTTATTTCTGTGGCACTAGCAGGCACGCTGTTTAAAGACATCTCATTTCATGCTCACCTCATTTTTCCCTTCCCCTATATTTGTATGTGTCAACAGCATGCAACAAAAATTAGGACAAAAGCAGCATGAGTTTCAAACCCTGTTCAGCTTTACGAAGAGGTGGCAAAGGAAAAGAGAGTCTCCCAATCTGTCATGCAAAGCCCCAGAAAAAGAAGAATTGCTGTGAGTTTCCACAGTAACAGGGCAAAAATTCTGGAAGAGAACTGAACTTCAAACTGGAAGGGGTGTCTGTAGTTGGGTTTGGGGTCAGAGGATTTGACTGCATCCTAAGCAAATGATACTTTTGAAAAAAATCCTACTCCCACAGGCACCAGGGTCAAGTTACATCAACCTACTGGCAGAAGGCAGCTTCAGAGCCCATGAACACTCATTTATGTTACATCTATGTAAAGAAATCTGCATCTCCTCCTCCCTGACACACTCAAAAGCTCAAGATATTGCAATATTTTGAGAATGCATCACTGTGGAAATAAAAGTCAGGAAAAGCTTTTGTCTCACAGGCTTCCAGGTTATAAATACCATGTTTAATTTGTTCCAGCCCCAAAATACCTGACTGCAGGACCAAGGGTATGCAGTGCAACATTAATGCTTTGCAGGCATGTTGCCCAGCAAATGTGCAACACACTGCAGTGTAACAACACAGTGGGCCCCAAAGAAGACCAATTCCACAGGCAATTTCTTTAGTCTTTCACGGCCAGGCAAAGTCATACATTCTGGAGGGGGTTTCTCCCATGGTAATTGACTGTTATAAGTCCTATTGCTTTTCTTTTATTGGTTATCACTATGAATTTTCTCTACAAAATCTCTGTTAGGCTCAGGTTATCCATTTATGTCTTATCCAGTTTTGTCTCAGATCAATCAGGCTGAATAAAAGAATGAAAATCCTTTGGTCTCTTCTCCCCATCCAGAGCCTCCTCAGCAGAGGAGAGGTGGAAGTCTGGGGGCCCAAGTGTGGATCCAACAGAGACTGCAAGCCCTAGAGGCGAGTCAATACCACTGCCATCTTCCCTCAGACATGAGATTCATTCCTGCAGATTGAGGGGGACTGCTGAAAACATTAATACATGTCAGCTTAGTGCCAATGCAAGCTAGGAAACAAAGCAGATCCTCGGGTACTCTAAAGCATGTGTGAACTCCTGACCACCACTGCATGATGAGAACAGTTTTTCACAAGGGTTTCACAAGAGTGATGTTCACAACAAAATAACACTGCCCTTCCAAATCCTCTTTTTGTGCTGTCAGGACTGTGTGTGGTGGGTTTGCAGCAGTGAAGAGAGAGAGGGGTTTTCTCTTTTCATTGCAAACAACATGTTCAGAAAAAAATTAACACGACCTGGCAAGAGTTAAAATTGAACCATGACTTTCTGCTTCTCTCAACTGTTAGACAGATATCTGCTCAGAGCTCCCCTACCCATAGCTATAGCCAAGAACCAAAGTCACCAAGAAACTGGAGAAAGAAAACAGGCTCAGAGTGAAAAGTACACCACAGAAATAATGGTTACTTCATTGCAGCTTGCAAACTTACTTTCATGTATTTTAACTAGAGAAGGCTTTATTTTTAGGGGGCTACCAAAAGGAACAGATATGCCAGACATCTGCTCAGCAGGCAAATTCACACAAGCCTCTGGATATAGCCAGGCAGAGCAGGGAAATTGATGGTACATTCAAAATAGTTTCCTGCAGAATAGGGAAATCTAGAGCTTTTGCCATAACTGGCTATGCCCTTCTCATGATCTCCATGGGAATTAAGTGTCTATACAAAATTCAGGTTTTCCAGTTGCTTTTCTTTTTTCCCTCTCTTTCTTGCTATTCCTCACTCCTGCTACAAACCCAATTTTACCATGCACAGTAAAAGAGGCAGTGCTGGTCCCCTTCAGCCTGCTTTCCAAATGTAACAAGGCAATCTTCCTGAGGAAGATGACAGAGAGGAGGAGAACAGAGATAACAAAAATGTAATTTTGCTATGCTTACTATCTCCCTAAAAAATTCTGTTTGGATTTTCTGTTTAACCTGCATCAAGGCAGACAGCCTTGGGCTGAAAGCTTACTTTTACTGGTCATAACTTTTAGGAAATCAAATACCAGATTCCCTAGGATTGCTTAGGCTTTACTGACAGAAGCCATGTTAGGAACTACCCTGAAAGTAAAGGATGGATTAAGAACAGGAGGCATGGGGAAAAAAGAAACAGTTCACAACAATACCATCCAGTATTGGGAACTCATTGGGCAACATATCCCCTTTTCTTAAACTCTTTACCCTCCACCCAAGCACATTTGTGTTCCTGAGCTTTTAATTTCTTTACCATCTGTCCAAGCTAGTTTGCACCACAGCAAAATGCCATGCTAAGTGACAGGACACATTCAGGGAACTCTCTCATTCTGTGAAATCTCCAAGTGCCTGCTCAGCTCTAAAAATAACCCACATCACTCATCTTGCATTTTGAAAGTTCAAAAGGATGAAAAAACACATTCTCTTTCTGTGCCTACATCTGCAACTGAGCATTGCATGGTTAGAGGAAAGCATCTCCCTTCTGTCTCAGAACACCTACCTGTAACACCAGTGATAACAAAACATGTTAGGAGCAACTGAGAGCAAACGCTGCTTAAGAGCTGGATACTAGAAAATCTGAAATCATTTCATTTTGATTAACTTTTGCTTTCAAACTGGCATATCCTGGGCTGGTTACAAGCACTGCTGAATACCACGTCCCTTGTTTGATGCTCTGCCACTTGGCAGCCCTCAGCAGAGCCGACATTTTTTGGTTTCACATTCCAAAGAGAAACTCAACTATTTAATCCCTGTGCTTTGTTTAAAATTCTCTTAAACTAAAGTATCGGATTAAAAGCAATCTTATGCTTAAATAAATACTGAAAAAAGCTACAAAAGCATTTTAAAAGAAAGCCCAGCTATGAGAGAGACTGCAGTATGCTCCTTGCAAGAAATGGCCTGTTTTCTCCTTTCCTAAGGGCCAGTAATGGCCATCACCCTACTGTTTTTAATTACAAGATTTCCTGTCTTATATAACATTTCAGTGTTTTCAAATGCAAATTATTTGCTTGCAGATGTGTTCAAACAATAATATCCTGAAGTTCTTTGCTAATCTCCACAGTAAATCTCTCACAGGTTGTCAGACTCCAAGACTGTCTAACCCAGCCAGCAGCCAGAGGCCTAGCCACAATTAAAGGTATAGAAATACAACTTTAAAAAAAATACAATAGTTTTTTAAAATCACAAAGTACCTGGAAAAGTAAAGCCCAATATTTATATTCTGAATGGTGTTTAACTGTGCAAGACAATTCAGTTTCAAGTGTTTGGTTAGAGATACCTTTAAAGAGACAGACTGGGTAAATTTTTGTCAGATGTCAGCAGTTTTTCAAGGATTTAAGTGTCAGTGCTGGCATATGAAGGACTCCAGATAAGTATTTTGACCAGTGAACTCAAAGAACAGGGAACTAAGCTCCTCAAAAATCTGAGCTGAGATCAAGCTTAAAGCATACTAACATAAATCAGTGTGATTTCAGGATAAAGCAAATACAGAGAAGCACAGTTTGCTGTCTGGCTCCCTCCTCTACAGTTATTGCATCTCCCAGGGCATCAGCTGGAACTCTCAGCCCTGCCACACTGATGAGCAAGTTGGGTTCTCTTCACAGCTCACTGTCACACAGGGATGGAAACACAAGGTCTGGTCCCCAGATCCACAAGGTTTTTTGCACAATGAAGATTGTACAGAGCCTAAAGCTTCCCATTGTCAATGCCCAGAACACGCAGAAATTAAAAACTCTTCCTAGAAAACTTGGAAATAGGCACCAAACCTGAACTGTGCCAGAATAAACTGTTCAAGCTTTACAAAGCACAAAATGGTTCCTACCTCCCGTTCCAGGTACGATTTAAGGGATTCTGTCTCATTTAACAGAGTAACGCTGCATTTGCCCCTACAAAAAGAGAAACACATCTCATGAAAGAAACATCTTAAATGCTCATGTGGTTCACAAGATGGTGTTACTGAAGTTGTACACAGGACTCAATCTTACATTGAAGAGTACTTGGAAAGAGTGCTGTATGATTTTTTAATAAAATGGAAGAAAACATTCATTACCTAATGTGTGTGGCTGGCAGAGATTCCAGCTGTCGTGAGAGAAACAACTCACGATGTCGTAGCTGATGCTTCTGTTTCTCTGGTAAATCAACCATTTCTGGATTTTCCATCTCTTCTTCCATTTCTCCTAGTTGTAAAGAGACATTGATCAAGAACAAGTATTGACTTTGAGCAAGTCAGAATGACCTGCTCCAAAACCCTTGCTAAATAACAAACTTTAATCAGTTTAAATGTAACATTTCGGCCAATTGAACAATTATGTAATTAGTACAGATCCTTGAAATGATGCCTGTGAAGAATTTTATTTATTTACCACCACCATCAAGTCATCCCAGGCACACACACAGGTCACAACAAGCTGAAAGTCACAAATGCCCACTGGAATGGGCAGTTTATTTATCAGTGTTATTTTGTACTCTCCCCAACCACAGCCACAAGATTAACTGGAATGTAACCAAGAGCCTGAGGCCACTCCTGGCAGCCTCCTTACCCTACCCACATCCAGCTGCAACACTCCTGCACTGCAGGATCCAGCATCTCTGCCTTGGGGCTAGCCAATCTCCATCCAACCACTTCTCAGACATACACCAAAGAAAATACATTAAATCCCACCCACACTGACGTGCAACTGATCCCTAACATCTTCAAGCACCCTTCTTTTAAGAAATAAATTTTGTGTTTTTTGTTTGTTAAGACATGTCCTGCCAGTTCTGCCAGTTAAAGCCATAAAGGGCTCAAAATACTCAAAAAAAAAGTCTCCAAAGATTTTCCATGATGAATGACTGAGAGTTCAGACTTCCCTTTCTCTGAGAAATTAATGCAGTTACTCGTATTTTGCAAAACCACAGGCAAAGTTTCCCAGACTGTAGTAGAACGAGCTCTAAAGCCTCATGCATGAATTGTAAAACTCTAATTTTACAGCAGCATTACTCTCAAAGAGCAGACTTATGCCTGCAGCTTAATTCAACAGTTGTTGCCAAAAAACATTTCTAGTGAGAAACACATACAGGCACACTTATGATTTATATACCCTTAAGATTAGTTAACTAAAATCCCCATAGTTATCCCAAAAATAAAGCAAACAGATATAGCTCCATTTTATAAAACACTAAAATTGCATTTAAACAGGCCACCATTATGCCAAAGGTGGTGACAAAAAAATTATGTACCCTTCAGGTTGCCCACAATTTATCACTGTTTTACTGCCCTAAAAAAAAAAAAGACCTGCAGTTTATTTGCCTGCCAGGTAGGCTGCTCCAGCAAGGAAGGAAAAAAAGAGCAGCATAATTAAACCAGACTTCAACTTACAATAGCTGCTACACCACATGAGCTGTTAAGCATACAGCAGCATGTACTTAGCTTTTAATATTTTCCTGGGAGCTACAACACCAAATTTACATTTGTTGCACACTTTCATGGGTCTGCAATTTATTTACTGAAGTGGATTCTGGTTTAGTTGAAAATTAATATTGTGACTGCTATCCTACACTGTAAATATAGCAGCAGCAATCCACAAACAATCCAGCAAGTTCCAAGCTCCTTTGCCTGAAAACTGAAGGAAAGGGGAAGGAAAGGGGAATTTTGGAAATGACAGTAGTGCACTGTGTAATGCAGGGAAAATACCACAAGGAGCAACCTAAAATACCTACTATCTTCAGTATATTTGATAGCCTACAGCTTCTAGAAATTACATTTTTCTAAAAAGTATGTCAACCCCTTTGTGGCAATGCAATCTACAGACAAAATGAAAGCACCCAGCACAACCAAACTCATCTCAGGGGCTGCATCCCTTCAGGTAGGCTCACCTTCCAAGGAGTATTTTATTTATGTGCCTTGTTTCTGTAATAAAATGCAGAAGGTGGAGAGCACACATGTTCTTATGGCAGCTCTGCCATGAACAGCCTCTCAGGACCAAAAAGCAGAACACATTTCTTCTTAAAAACAGACAGACATTTCTCCAGGTAACAAACACACAGCAGTAAAAGTGTCACAGCACTCCCAGACAGAGGTAGGAACATTCCAAGAAATAACAAACAAACAAATCTATGTGAAATTGTCCCTCCTTTTTCACAGCTGTGATTTAGCACTGAAAGAACTGGACCTGAGCAATGCACTGGGAACCAAGGGATGGGGGAGAGAAGGGCTGGATCTGGGACAGAACCTCTCCCTTGCTGAGGTCAGGCAAGAGCTGCTTGGCCAAAAACCACCCAGGAACACCTCACCCAGCCAGCACAGACTGTGAGCCACAACAGGGCTGTCCCTGCTCCAGGACAAGGCTGACAGATCTGCATTTCACCTTCCCACACCTCACCCACTCGCACCAGCAAGAACGGTGGCCTCCGAGAAAAAAAGAACCTCAGTTTTAAAAAAATAGAAATATGTATTTATAAAATACCCATGAAATCTTTTCAGAAAGATTTGCCTGCATTTCCTACAATGCTGTGGAATAAGTGGTATGGGAATACAGGAGATGCAGTACACATTGGGACTTCAGTGCTCTCATAAAGCCTTACTTCAAAATTAATCTTTCTGCTTGATAGATGTGCCTGTGCAGATTTGAAACTAAACATTTAATCTTAATACAAACAGTAATATATCAGCTATGCAGCAGTAGCCAGTGGAATGCTGCAAGAAGTGTATTAGATTAAGTATTATTTGATATTTAATGGCAGAATCATTAATAGCACATTAACAAAGCTTGAAGATGACTTACATTGGGAACAAGAGATAGGCAGATTAGGCACAAACAGCAAGACTTGTGTGAAAGCTAACATATATGGGAAAAATAATTAGAAAGAGTAAACTTTGAGTTGGCAGGAGAAACCCAAGAGGCAGTAATTGTAATTTAAAATGACTGGGTGTGTGAGACGTGAAATTAAACATCAATATTTGCTAGACACCAGAAAGAATAGCAATTTGCTATAGATCAGATTGGGCTCTCCAGAGCATCAACCACAGAAAGCTGCAGCCCTTTCTCTGCACTATGGGTGTCATACAAGTAGCTACATGACAGAATTCAGAAATGCACAGTGGTAAACAAGACACAGAAATCAGGTTTAGAGAGCACTCGAGGTTTACCAGCTTGGGAAACAGCCTGCAGTAACAGAAGAATTAGTTAGCATGGTTATAACTAATAAAATAATGTGAAGAATAAAGAAAAAAGAGTGAGGCCAAGTCATTGGGAAAAACAGTAAAACCAGTGCTACTGACCCACACAACAGCTCCTGCAGCAGCAAAGGAGCTGCAACTCTGGCTGCTTTAACAGCTTAACCAAGGGCCTTAGAGGAACATTCTAGAAATGCTGCATTTGAATAAATTAAAATACAACACCAGGTCCCTTCTTCCAGGTTCAGTTTCAAATGGTTTGTGTGAAGCTTATTCTTAGCTTCACACAAACCTTATTCTTTTTCCCTACCAAAACCCAGATATTGACTTGTAGCTGTAAAAGCATGGAGAAGGTTTCAACAGGCAGGAATCCTTACACCTTGACACTTCAGGAGTTTGCCACTTTATCAATGTGGATCCATGAAGTTCTGGTTATCTCCTGCAGCCAGGGCCACTATTTCAGGTAGCAAAAAAACAGACACTATTTTGGACACTTTTCTTTTCCCTCACTGCATTCTCAAAGAGAAAAACCACAGTTCCCCCGTCTCAGCAACAACTGAGCCACGGTGTCATTAGTGGGTATGTGAAATGGACTCAAATCTGCATGTGTGGTGCTGGGAGAAAATACAGAAGGGGAATAAAATGGAAGAAATAAAACGAGCCAATTCATGAAGCTATTGTCAAAGTTCATTCAGACTGGTGTTATTTTAAATGTAAAAAAAAAAAATTGCTCAATAAATTCCCCACCTGTTTAGGCACACAGGTTTAATGCAAACATTTCTTTTCAGAAGCTTTGGCATTTCCAAAACCAAGCTGCCATACGTGCCAGCACCTGCTGAAAACCAGCCATGAATCTGCCAAAAATCAGCCCAAAGCCAGTTCCCCAACCACTACTAACTGGTCAGTCATTGCTGCAAATATTTAAATAATTATAAAAATCTGTGTAAGACATTATATAAAGAAAATACACAGTGACAGCATCCAACAATGGGTTGAGGAGTGAAGTATCCTTCCCATTTCTCTTCCATCAAGTCCTGTCTGCACTCTTGTTTGCAAAGTCTCTCAGCTAGAACTTAAAACAGTGTCTTACTGGTGAAGCAAACACATTTCAGAAACAGTTGGAGAAATTCCCTAGAATAATTTGTGAGGTGATTAAAGAGGCTTATGAATAAAAAGCATTAACAATGTATGGAAGACATCAGAAGGCTGAAAGATTTATAGGACAGCCCAGACAAGCTTTACATCATATGATAAAAATAGTAAGATCACAGATCAAATCCAAGAATCAGGTTACATACATCAGGTACTAATTTATAGTCACCAACTACAGAATGAGGCATTTCCAACACATTTCTCTTTATACAGACTTATGAGAAAAGACATTTCAAAACTGCCTGTATCAGATATCTGATGGATCATCCAAGCTAAAATGGCTTTTTTTTAAAAAAAAAACTTCAAAACATTAATTTCACAATTACATTTTTTCCTTCATTTATTGGAAGAGTAAAAAAAAAAAATAACAATATCCATACAATTTTTCCATTCATGCCCTGGTTGTATCTCCCCATTTCTCAGCTCTCTCACTGCACTGATCTCAACAGTAGGTCTAAAATAAAGGCATCTTGAACAGAAGACTGTGTGAATCCAGAAATGTCTGCAGCCAGAAAGCTCCATTAATCAGCTGAACAAAGGCAGTTAAAAGATCAGCGATGCAGACACGAACATCTACTGCAAATGCATCAAAATGAGGCAACAGGAGACTTTATGGAAATGAACTAAAAGTCAGTGACAGTGTGCAATATCTGTACTAGAATCTTTAACATCTACAAAATTTAATTTTGTTGTATCGTGCAGGAGGTTGATTCTTTTTCCAGAGTAAAGAACTAATGGCTGTCCAAAAAGCTTCATTTTGCTCTCTTCTCCCTTCTTATGAAGAACGGAAACCACGGAGCAGCAAATCTAAATAAATGGAAGTCATTCAGTAGCAATTTTATTCTGCACCAGGAAGAAAGATACTGGAGAAAATGCTAGTTACTAATGAAATTTACTTTAAGAGGCAGACTCAGTTGTCTCTGGTTGCTCTATTAATAGGATTTTGCTACAAAAGCATTTTCCCCATCTTTCAAACAACATGTATGAACAATGAATTATTTTTTTTGCATTTAAAAAAATCCCACTTAGATTTCTTGTCACAAAGAGAAATCAGCAACTGCAGGTTCAAAGTGCATTTATGTGGGTTCAAATATTTTTCATTTTCAGTCTCGTGTGTTTCTGTGAACCCTCCCCACCTGCTTTCTTTGCTGGAGCTAGTGAAGTGAGACACAGATGAGGGAATCAATAGCCAATGCTGTTGATGGTGAAGCTCCTAGTGAGCTTCAGGATCCTCAGAGAAAATGAATCCTGCTGCACTGAAGAGATCTCAAAAAAGCTTTGCCTGCCATCACATTTCTGTGACACAGCAAACTCTCAACACCACGACCTCTTTTCAAGGTATGGATGCAATGGAGGGATTATTTGGACAGACTACAACACAAAATACTCAGATTTATCAGTAAGGGACTAGTTTTGCTGCATCTTTTCCCCAGTGGCATTAAAGCAGTGAGAACACAGCAAGCCATTATATCCATTGCTAAAAAACTGAGTATCTGATTTAATCAATCCCCAGATCCCTCTATTGATACGCACACCAAGTAGCATCACATTAAAAGACAGTGATGCTTGCCAGCTAAATCACAGTTCTGACATGCCCATATCTGATTGCTTCTCTCTCATTTATAGATGTGCCCTGAATTACAAGGATTCATAAGGCTGTCCGTGCTTTTTGCTAAATTTTAAGCAATCTGAACAGCTACATCTCACACACTGCTGTTTACAAGAGAAAAGCAGTTTAGTTACTCCACTTGCATCCCCACAAAGGGGTTTAAGTATTCAAAACCATGTTAGGAGAGTCTCAAATTCTTTGTTTTCAAAGTGTATTTATTCAGCATGTTCAGACAAAAGCTGTGTCACTACAAGAAATATTATTAATATTGAAATTTAAAGAGAAATCCTGTTAGTCAGGTTTCAAGCTGGCCACGTTTCAAGTTGCTTTCCCATAATCAGCCTACTTGATTCACTCCAATAATGTTTGAGGGGTTTTTTTAATATATAAACCAAACCAAATAATTCATGAGAAGTTATATTAACAGGGAGATTATTTTCTCTCACCCCAAAAATTAAAAAATTCATTTCTGTGGAGCAAATAAGAGGTCTTCACTCAGCCCTAACTGAAAACTTCTGTTTTGTCCCCACCAAATCAGACCATATTATGTATGGGTATTAAAAGGTTTAAGGAAGGGGGAAAACAAAACAAAAAAAGAAAAAAGAGGGTCAGGCAGAAAGAAATAGAAAAGCCAACCAAACAAGTAATGCAAATTGCTAAAGATGACTGTAGAAAAAACCACATTTAAGATACTGATACTTGAAATATCCAAGTTGTCCCCAAGCTTGACAATTCTGTGCAGAAGCAAGGCCATGTGAACACAAAGCAGCTTACTTGCATGTTTGTCTGCCAGTACAATGAGCGTGCTTGAGATGTCTCTCCTCCTGTAGAAACACACCACCTTTGCTTCCACGTTTCCATTGGCAGTCTGAAACGGGGAACAGAAGAGAAAACTGACCACTAACCCAGGCAACTGCAACTAGGAGCTTCATAAATCATCAGGAGCTTTGCACAGCTGCACATGGCATCCAAAACTCCAGCCTGATCCACGCCAGGGTAGGGAAATTCCAGGCAGGAATTTCAGCCCTGCCCTCCTAATGGTTCCAGAGGAATCACCACTTTTAAGTTACAGATGTTTCAAGGGGAAAAAAAACACACTTACCTGCCCTTGCACCACATTAACAAGCCACTCTGCTGCTTTTGAGGGGATGCCTGTATTAAGTAGCATGCAAAGGAATCTTTAAAAACCTAATAAAAAACCTGTGAAAAATAACAGAATTCAAATCTAGGCCGTTCTCCAAACTCTGCAGGGCAGTAGGAAGGCAGGAAAGAACCCAGCCATTATTACTTTTGCAAAAGAAACAATATGAGATTCTCTGACAGAACTGGTGAGCTAAATAATGGCCAACACACACACAAAAAAAATCATTACAGAACAAGAACCAAAGAAGCTGCATCAGACAATAAACTCTATTCCAGTGACAGCATACAAAAAAGTCAGATGTTTTTGAAAGATTATTTACTTAAAACTCTTAAACTGAGATAGGTGATCAAATGTAAGATGGCACCTGCTAAACAGTGGCTTTTTTACAAACTCTAGGGGAAATAAACCTACTGGCTTGTAACAGCCAGTTTACTGTCTCTAAAATAAACCAAATAATGCAAAAGTAACTCAAGAGTTGTATCCTGCTACTGAAGATTCTTTGAAAACCATAATGAAGACACAGTTCCATAAAGTAGAAGATAAAATGTCCTGCTAGGAAGTCTCTAAAAGAGGGTAAACAGCAAGGGTGAACCAGCAAGGGTGAACCAGCACTGTGTCTACAAGGAAACAAAATAAAAATTGATGTACATGCTCATTTCTAAGATGGGAATGAAGGAAAAGTTTCAACTTCTGTAATACCAGTTTTCCTAACAAAAATCTAAAAAAAAAACCAAAAAAACCCAGACACCACATACATGCATAGATATTTCCCTTCCAGACCAAAAGTTTTTGGTAGAGTCTCAGAATTCCTGCCCATTTCTGGTAAATAATTCAGAACTTTCAAATTTTGAGAAGCAGGAACCATCCTGTTCAAACACAGACAGATTCCATGTCAGTTGATCTGTTTAACTGCCAAAATTTCATTTACACTCAGTTTAAAAGGAAACAGAAGAGCTAGGAATCATTTCAACCTGAAAGACCCATTTTAAAGTGTAAGTCACAGAAATTACAGCTCAAGCAAGAATTGCACCAAAATAGGGAATCCAGGTTGAAAGTTCAACTTTTTTTAAAAGGTGAGGGGAAGAATGAAAAGGAAGAATTAGAGGGAAAACACCTTCCAGGAAAGTGATCAACAAACCTGCACCCTGTAATGTGTGGAATACACAGTGATACCTCATGGATAGGGAAAACATGTTCACTTATGTTTCTTTAAGACAAAAGAGACTTAAAGGTATTTCTGTAACAGACCTCCATGGGGTTATGAAGGCTGTCCTAGCATTCTTTATTGGTCATGAAATTGATACATTTTCTCTTCCAAGTAATTGTTTGAGAACTCCATGAGTTTGAGAACACCATGAGTGGTGGCTGAAGAAAAATACCTGATCTCAGTCAGTTAATGCACATCCAAATCCAAGCCAGCAGTGTAACATTCCCTCTGTATGGGCTGCCATAATGTCAGGAATAAACCCAAACACGTGGCATGTTTAGTGGCTTCAGAATGCTCTTTTCCCCCTCAATCAGGTCAAATTTCAGTGCTGAGAACTTCAGCTGGCTTCCCACACAGAAGCCATCATGCTTCCCTGTTCGATCCATTGAAAGGGAATTTGGCAGCTGAAAGAGTTTGCTGGCCCAAAAGGACAACCAGCAAAGAAAGCCTGAGCAAAGCAGATCACAGCTGCAAACCCTTCTCCTGAGCAAGAGTCTCCCAGAAGAAAAATCAAATTAAAGCTCTCCATCCTCTAGGCAAACGCTATTTTCTTCATATCCTGGCATGATCCTGGCATGGAAGTGAAGAACTGCAGAAACCTCCTGCCCTAAAGGTGGGTATAATCACCTTGAGCATGACATGCCATCGACACTCAGTCCTTTCATACCAAAGGAGAACAAAAGGTCTGAAAGCATTCCAGAAAATTGTCAGAGAACAAATGTATTTTTAAGCTTCTAATTACCAGAGAGCTGCTAAAGAATTGTTTTGATTTTAATCAAATCAAACAGATCATAAATTCAATTAACTTCAAAGACTTGATGAAAAAAAATGTTTACCTTATTGAGCTCTTCTATTCTTCGTATCAAGTAGGGGTTACTTGAAGAATTTTCGAAGTAGACATAATCTGACAAAAAGAAAAAAGATTCTTTAAAATATGAACTGCTAAAAATCTAATCAAAACCTTTATCAGCCTGGAGAGCAAAGCACATGATCTTCCTTTTCTCTCTGATCAGATTATTTCCACTTAGACCACACACTTCTTGTCTTTACTTGCTTCCTTTTCTTATCAAAACCCAGCCACTTCTCACCAGCAAAATGTGATCTCTCTCTTCCCCTCCAGTTTACAAATATGGCTCATTGTTTCTCATCTTTTTCTCTACTTCCTGATCTTTTACACTTATGTGATCCTAAAATGCCCTCAAAATTCCTTATCGCTGTCCAGACTGGTCAGTAATACTTGTATTTTCAAACAAGGTAAGTATCTAAAGTTAAAGGAAAGAAATGAGTTCTTTACCAAAGGTAGTGACTTAAAAAATACAAAAATCACAGAAACATGCATGAGTGCCACAAAAATGATTTGGTTTTAGGGAACTCCAAGCTTAAGTGCTCCTCAAGAAAACAGATGCTCAGGAGTTCTGAATGGACTGGCCCTTCTCTCCCAATACTCCAGCAGCCAAACCAAACCCTAAGCCTGAACTGAGACAGAGAGGGGGCTGAATCCTCCCCGCTGACAAGGTGCTGACCTTGCACACAGATCTGAACAATTCCCTGCAGGACAACCTAAAGCAGATTTCCCTCCAGATTTCCCAGCTCATTTGTGCTTGGAGTAAAACACCAGCAGCCCCCGGGCACGCCGCAGGTGATCTCTTGCGATGCCTGCATTCACAGGATGCTCCTGGATGAGAGGGTGTTCAGCAGGATGAGTGGGTGCTCTGTAAACAGGGACAGCTGCTCAGGGCTACCCTCAATCCCCCTGAAATCCTTGTCAAAAGGGCTGTGGAAAGCACAGATACATTCCCTGCTCCCCAGCCCAGAGGAAGGGAAGACATCCCTGAAAGGTCTCTACTCCTAAAAAACTGCACCAGGAGAGTTAAGGGGACCCTTTTTATGTCTGGGCTGACCAGAGAGACACCAGGACATTTTCCACCCACCCCGTGTAACAGCACTCCAGCTGCAGCCACACCTTTTTTCAGACTGCTGCTACAGCCCGTTATCCACAGGTCTCCCTGGAATTACACACACACCCACTTGCTGCGAGGGACACCAGAGACCACCGGCCAAATGACCCCAAAGAAGCTGCTCCAACAACCCAAGTGCCTCCTTCAGCAGGGCTGGGCTGCCTTAGGAGAGGTTCACCAACCAGGAATCCCATCTCAAGAGTGACAATTCTTAACAAAGCTATTTTCCAAACTCTTGCCTTGCCAAAAAGCGTGCTGTTGTCGAGACACCTCGCTAGTGAAGTCCCAAGCTGGTCCTGGTTGGAGTGACAAGCCAAGAGGTTCAATGCTTATGCCCAACACTAGTTTTGGGTTACCCAACCACAGAGTGAATTAAGGGCTAAGAAGCACTCAAATAGCACACCCAATTTTTGATATTTTTGTGCATTCTGTGCTCCAGGCCTCTCAGCCATCTTCACACACAATAACAAGCATCTGAGAGACTCCAAAACCTCCTTCCCAACTGCAAGAGTAAGTTAAATATTACATCCCTGCAGCCTTTAAACTAGAAGATCTCAAGTGAGAGATCTTGGACATCTGGTTGGTAGAAAACTTTGTGGGTAAGTACCAGAAATGGTTCAAACACCCAAGTAACAGGATCCTAAATTTCCATTCCCAACCACTGCCTCTGTGCAGCACATCAAACAGGAAACAACAGGCTCAACATTACCATGGGCAACTCTACCACAAGTCACAAAACCAAACAGATATTTGGCAGCTTCAGCAATAACAACTGCTGACTGAAATAACAATGGTGGGCATTAAGCAATTTACTGATCAGCAGAGCAAAGAGAAATGATTTCTCCAAAGGCAGAACCACCCATGACCTCCAAGGGAACTGCAGCAGAGGATGGTGAAGCTTCCAGGTGCCTCTCCAAGCTCACTGGCCACTTCTCACTAGAAGGCTCCAGCAAGTGAAGAAAGGATGAGTTCTTTCCCTCCAATAATTCCTAAGACAACCAGCTACTCCTCACTTCAGGTACTCTGACTGAGGCAGATGTAAAAAATATTACTTCTGTGAATGCCGTGTCTGAAAATTAGAAATTAAAGGAAATGTCAATCTAGGTCTTGAAAATATAACCTTGTCTTTAATCTCATGGGTTTCAGGTTACAAATGCTCCTAGTTCACATCATTTTTAATCAGCTTTGTTGTGTTCATGTACACGCATATATTCTCAGACACATTTTATACCTTGAGTGAACATAAACTTGATTTTTCACATAACTACAGTTTATTGATTATAAAATCTGGCACGGATTTAAAGAAAGCTTATCACAGATGAATGATTTACCAAAGAACAGCTCACAGTGGTATCCAGCAGTACTGAATAATAACCCACCCCCAATGCATGTGGGTCAGCAGCAGGAGCATCCCCAGAACCACACCGTGAGCAGCAACTGCAAACCGAGCTCACAGCAAGCACCACGTTCTGCTGGCACAAAGGCAGAACCAAACCTGTCCCTCAGCGTGCTCCAGTGCAGAGGTGCATTCTTAGCTCTGTGCTTGATGACTTCACCATGTCAAATTCACAGCCCAGCACATCTCACCCATGTTTTAGACTCATTCCACAGCTATGCTGAGCATTTCACCAGTAGCTACGCAAGCGATGCAGATTTATTTCCCATTGCTCAAACTACCTGGAAAAGGGCTTCTTCCTCTCTGCAAGTAATGCAGAGCACACTGCAAACCACATAACACAAAATAATGCATATCAGAGGAAAGTGTTTGCACTTTTCATAGAAATTTTAAATACTAGAACTAAAATTTAAATGCTGTCCTGCACAGAGAATTGGTTGAATTCCTGTTCCGTGTGTGCAACGTGGAAATTTGAAGATCAACAAACCACTCTCCAAACTGATGCTTGGTACAAACACTCCTCTGAAACTCCACGAACAACCAAGCCCAAGAAGAGTGGTTTTCTGCACAGAAAGTTTAAAGGAGGCACACCACTGGGCCCTACACTCCAAAACACTGCCTTTCTCCTTGGGTAGCTCTCCCACTTCACCTCCAGCTTCCTCCCACACCATGGCAGTGCACCCTTGCTCATACTGCCTTACCCAATAATATTATTCCCAGTTTGCTTTCAGGGCAGTGCCCATAACTGCAGATACATGTGCACACACACAGTAATAAAACCTTCCACAGACTCCCAGCAATCCCAATGTCAGTGGAGACATCCTGTATGTGCCAAACCACAGGGTCCTGTACCCTGGGCTGAAAGAGGGGATGGGGAAGGACACAAAATTAGCAAATCTTTAGACAACAGGGAGATATGCATCTCAGCTCCTACTAAGAACAGGAAGGAAGAGTTCACTGAAACAAAAAATAAGGTCTAGGGACAGAAAATTAGAGCCTGATAGCAAACAAAACAAGTCAGGCCCTCCAAACACAGCTGACTATCTATCCTTGCTGATTTATTTGCCTTCCTATTAAAAAACTGAAGAAAAGGACTAGTCTAAAACTGCTCTGCATCCCACAAGCATGACATACCCCCTACCCACCATGAAAAGCACATGAAGGCAATCCCTCACCACCCAGCTGCCTGAGGAGAGTTTCAACCCCGCTCCTTCACAGCAGCTGTTGGCTCCAGCTCACCATCCCCGAGTTAATCAGCCGTGCATCCATACCATGATCATAATTAATGGCACCACTCAAGCATGTTACACTTATCTGTGATCAGCCTACAACTGACTGAGGAGTGCAGAAATACCGAAAGGCAGTAAGGACCATCACACACATCATCGCCTTCTGACAAACTCAAAACGCACTTCTTCCCCTTGCCTGTGCTGTTATAGAGCAGAAGTACCCACATGCATAAATCTAGCCAAAAAAAGCCTTTCTATCCCATAATACTTTTTTCTGAATATGCACAACACAACTTGCCAGAAAGCAATGCTGTATTACACAGGTAATGACTGAACTGCTAGAACACACAGACACAGGAGCAGCAGCTAAAACTAGAATGACAGCCTACAGACCACGGAAGATGAAAATTTTCCACAAAAGGCAGTAAAATAACAGTTCTGAATTCACAATTAATGGAACAGAATTTCTTTGTGCTCTCATATGTTTCTAAGACATTACTGCAAAAGAGCTTCCCCCTCTGCTGTGTTCATGTCAGCTGTTGCTTATGTCTACATCAGCCCATGGAAAAGAAAATCAGGAGGGGGTACAGCAAAATAAATAACACACACTGTCTAGAGGTCATATATTTATAAGATTAGACATGTCTGAGCTACCTAATAACCTTATGGGCTTTTAGGTGATCAAGTTGCAAAAATGCCCAAAAGTATTTTTATCCTTCCCAACTCACACTTGCCTTTCAAGCTACAAGTGCTTTCTGAGGACTGACCTGGCTGAGCATTCCCTACATTACCCCCAAAATCCCTACACAGAGAGTACAGCCCCAGCCTACAGATGTACCCAGGATATGAGGGAGGCTGCAGCCTTCCTCTTCCCACGCTCACTACCACTGCTGGGTACACTGTGCAATTCCAGACACATGATAAAGAGGTAACTTTCACAGTTGTAAATATTTCCCCTCCCCAACCCACAGAGCTGCTGCCCTGAATTAAAGATGAGCATCAAGAGAGTGCATAAACTTATGATAACCTGCTTATTTTATGACTTCTCTTAGAGGAAATATGTGCCTCCACATACTCTGGGCTCTCCAATTTAACTTTGGGCCAGTTTCCTTCAGTAAGTTCCAGTTTTCATATTATTCACCAGCTTTGTCCCTAAACTGTCAATAATTTTACACTCAGGATAATACAATCCCTTCTTGGTGTGAAAGAGGAGGTTGCAGAGGCAACTCTGCAAGTCCTGCAATCAAACCAGAGCCCAAGTGCTCTTGCTTTCTGGCTCTTCAAAAAGCAGCAACACTCCCAGCATCAGCCACCCAATGAA